ACATCGAAAGACATACGTGTCACAAAGAGACAGTCAAATCATAGTCATAACATGGAGTCCTTGTAGAGTCCTTGTACAGTCCTGCACGTAGGCCATATTGCTATCTAATACTAATACCCTCCCCTTTGATCACATAATCACATGTGATCACTCAATTGGATCAATCAAAAAAATGGAAAAAGAAAAAAAAAAAAAAAAAAAATCCAAAAAAAAAAACTTTACAAAATTATTAAAACTCATAATCATCAAATCAATATCAGTGGATTTTATCCTCTATCCTGGGAAAAAACAAACAAACAAAAACAAACAAACAAATCAAAAATAAAAACAAACAAAAATAAAAACAAACAAAAACTATTGGACACAGTAGAACTCAGCAGATTCAGTCAAAACACAGACAAAAACGAGCTGAGTCTCAAATTTGAAGCTAATTTCACTTTTATTACTCTATACTTTTATTCTAATGCTAATTGTTTACACTACACTTCACTTATTTCACTGTATTATTTTCACTTTTTAATCTTAGACTGTGTACTTTACTCTCTATTCACTATAGTTTAAACTATTCTAATCTATTTACAAATATGTTTGCATATTTGCTTCTATTGAGCCATATTCTTAAACATACATTTTAATCTAATAAATCTCTCTGTGGTATTATACTCTCATTATCAGTGGCTTATTATCAGTGGGATTTTGCTCCATGTCTATTCTCATTCTCAGGAATAAAACTGTGAACACAGTAAGGCAAATGGTCAACATTTACACTTCTATAGTGGTCAGTGATTTATTACTTTTTATTATCTAAAGATATTATTGTCAGGCAGTTTGGGATGAATGTACATCATTAATCAAATTAGTATTATCCTTACAAGAGCTAATCTATTTGAGCATGTTTGGGGTTGGGGTCAGTTATTCTACAATGGTGTTTGTGCTGGAAACTTCTCAATATCTAAATATCTACTATTGTGTTGTTGTGCTATACACAAATACATCAAAATGCTTTTGAATCTCTGTTGGTTGTAATCTATCTCATTGATCTAGGCATTAATCTAGGCTACACTCATATGAACTTTTTGCATTGTCAACATTCACTCATGTTTGAACACAAGTGAATTTGGCAAGTATCTAATAAAACTGTAAGTAACTTTATCTACTTTTGAAGTAAATGCTTGTGAAATGGTCTCTTTACCATTTGATATTAGCACTGGCTACAAATAATCTCTATTTTTGAAAGCATCTATGGTTGATGCATTTATCTACTCCTATTTTTACACTATTGTCACTCCAAAGTTTGGCTGCAGTTTGAGCAAAGGCATATTTCTAATTTGTGACTTCTGTCACTTTTAATATCTCTAAAATACTCTGATTCTAATATTCTAGCTGATCTATCAAAAGGATAACATTGTAGGGTACTATTTTAACTCTTATGTGGAAATGTGTTTATGAACAACAAAGAAAGGACAATTCTACTTTTTTACTACTATTTAACATCTACTAAAACGCTACAATACTCATACTTTATCATTTTCAAACATTTTAACTGTTGCTCAGTCTCCCAGACTAAAAAAGTCAAATTTTTTGTCTGTCAGATCTCTGAATACTTAACATGTATATTGCATTTGGTCACAGTTGTGGTTGTAGCAATAGCATCGGCAATAGACGTTTTCATTGGCTGGTTCTTGTTCTGCAAATGGCTGTGTCCAATAGATCATCAGATGTCCAGAAGCTAGGGACAAACAAAAACAAAAGAAAGAATCATGAGTATCTGTCTCATTTAGCACTCATCAATGTATGATTTCAAAAATATAAACATCACTCCCCAGTTTTCTCTCTCAGGTCCTCAGGTCCTCAGGGTCCTCTGAGGGTGAGTCTCAGTCGTCATCAGGTCAGGTCATATTTCGAGAGATGTCATCTTGGACATCAGTAGGGTCCAAGCCATGGCTCTGGTCTCTCCAGTTGGACATCAGATCTCCAGATACAGTCTTTTCACTTGAAGCACATCAGGTCACTTGGGATGCACTTCTGGTCAATGGTGCAGTGTCACAGTTCCTGTACACAGCTTGTTATGCAATAGTTACTTTCTATGGTTAAGTCACTTTGATTCTACTTTAACACAATTTCTATTCATGCTGTTGCTAATGTCTCTCAGACAAAAGCAAGCGCAGTTATTCAGTTTACTTCTCTAATTTGTGTTTTTATCAGATCTAATCCTCATCAATGTAATTACTTCACACAGTACAAAATCAAAACATCAAAAGTGTCAGGACAGAGGTCAATTAAGTCCATGACAATATAGAATTCAAATGAACATTTCTGGTCTCAAAAAATACTGATTCAACTAAAGATTCAAGTGATAGACAATTAAAAATATGTGTTTACATTGGAGTAAACTTTTAAAATGCTTTTTTCTCATGTTCTGCTTTTTCATGTATCTATATGTAAATGTGAATGTGTGAGTGTATGTGTGTGTGTGTGTATGTATATGAATTTTGGGGTTGTCTCTCCAGACTCCACGAACCACCTGTAGGTCTCAAAGGTCACACTGTGGTGATGTAAACCAACTGGACACACTTTCAACTCCCTCTAGGTCTCTACCTGATGCTCCACCATCACGTCTCCAGATACCTCTCTTTCATGGCCCCGGTCTCTCTCACACCCACTCAGTTCTGCAGTGGCGTGGGGAGGGGCAAGGAGGTGGCATTTCCCTTTGCTCTTTGATCTGTGACCTGTGGCTGGGTGGGCTTTGCGCTGTCCAGTGTCCAGCAGTGACCCCTCCCACAGTGTGCCAGAGTCTGAAAAACAATCCTTGAAACAGCCAATTTAAAAAAACAATAGATATCAGTATGCGAATGAGATTGTTTTTCTCTCTGAAGTCAAAACAATTTGAGCGCTCTGGGTTTTCCCAAGCGCTATGTAAATAAAGATTACTTATTCTCTTACTAATGATGACATTTTAAAACCAGAAACTAAAGAAGTTATCAAAACAACAATTATACTCAAAACAAACAACCTTTTGAACTTTAAAACATGTATTATATACTTTTGTACTGTGTGATTAATTATCTATGCGTCCTTGGGTTTCTTGAAAGACGCCATGAAATGAAATTATGAAAAATCTCTATAAAAATGAACATTAATTTGTAAAAACATTTAAAACAAAACTTGAAATCAAACAAAAGATTTAGCTCCAGCTAAACTGGATTCGGTTCAATAAATAAAACTCAATTGTGCGTCGGAGCTGCCTCCTCATGTCTCTGAGCAGCAGCAAGGTCACGCGTGTAGTCAAAACAAAAACAAAAGTCACCACTTGAATGTGAATTGGGTAGTTGAACTTAATAATATAATACTTTTACAGCCTAATTCTCTCTTTCTTTTTTAGACGAAGTCTACAATCATTAATCACTTTTAACAGATTCTAATTTAAATGTTTGAAAAACGGCTTTTGTAACTAAAATAAAAAATACATGAAAAAATTCTCACAAACAGCTATGAAATATATCAGAGATACAATAATGGACTCACAAAATAAGCAGCAGATTTAAAAAGAAAAGCAAAGCTTTTTGTACTAATCTTTGGGTTTCAAAAACATACTAATTCAAAACTTCTATTCCCTAATGGTGTTTAAAAACGTTTAACTGTGTCTAACACAATGTTCAAATGGCAAATTTAGCAAATTTAACGGAATAACTACTATGAAAAGCCAAATTCCTAAAGCAGTAGCTCCCCTTTAAATCAGAGCAGCAGCTCAGCAGCAGCGAGGGCGGGGGGGTTCCTTTCACACAGACGCGCACACACAGGCAGAAAGATACAGAAGAATAACTTTCAAGATTAATTTTTTAAGCAAATATAACTGATGTTGTTCTTTATACTTTTGTCATTTATCAGCCTGAAATTCGTCAATTTCAAAGCTTTTGTAACAAAGGCCTCCTTAACACGTTTCCCTTTTTATAATAACTTTTATGTTTACACCATGGTTTCACTTATGGATCCTCACTTTAATGGCCAACACTTTTCACTTATGGATCCTCACTTTAATGGCCAACACTTTTCACTTTATGGATCCTATTCACTTTAATGGCCAACACTTATTTGAACACAATTTAGAGAGTTCGACAGACCTCAAAAACACACCAAAATTTAGCTAGTATCCAATTATGCAGACTTTACATTTAAAAAGGTGTCTGCTTACCTTATTCTTGTCAAACAGGTGCATGCACGGACTGTCCGAGAGGTCTGCCAACTCTTTTCCGCGTCGGAATATTCAATTTAAAAAACAAAAGTGACAGAAGCGACAAGAAGCATCCAGGAACAGCTCTTCCAGCCTGCTGGAATCTCCGCTCCCAGACACAGCATGCCGATCTCTCACGCAGAGGAAAAGAAACAGAGCAAAACTCCCCCAAAACAATCCAGAGAATGGCACAAACCGAGCCGCGCATTCTCCACCAAATCTGTTAGGATTTAAGCAGACAGAGACGGATCGTGGTGTGCCAAACTCTGGAAGTTTATTTAAGTTTCTCTCAAGTTCCACTAGTTTACTCTGTTTCTTTCCCTCAGACAGAATAAAGGCAGTACACAGTTTATATAGTCATTGTCACGTCACACATCGAAAGACATACGTGTCACAAAGAGACAGTCAAATCATAGTCATAACATGGAGTCCTTGTAGAGTCCTTGTACAGTCCTGCACGTAGGCCATATTGCTATCTAATACTAATACCACACTAAAATCCCCACAAAATCCGACCTTTATGAAAGCTGTAGGTTCTGTCAGCTGAGGTTGAGCTGTTTTAATATGCATTGAGTTCTATGGGGAAAATTTCTGGGTAGCCCACGTGAATTTAGTCTGGTTCAGTCTGCAGTACCGCGAGAATCCCCCGAGCACATGAGTTATTCAGCTACAAGCTAGTAATACCCTATCCAGTTAATATAATAGATCCATGAGTTTAACATATATTCATTGAAATGGTTCTCAAAATATCTCATTCATGTCCCCATAGGCTCCAGTGCGACTGTCAACACAACACCTGCGGCGTGTCATGTGACCAGTGCTGCCCCGGCTTCAACCAGTTACCATGGAAACCAGCCACAACCTACAGCGCTAATGAGTGTGAACGTAAGTAAAGCTAACAGCAACAACATAAACGCAGTTAATTTTTTTAACTTTTATGTTTATTTTTTTATTTGCTGTGTGTTTGGAAAAATAAATTACTTTGCTATACTAAGCTAATGGCTAAAGCTAAGGCCAGGCTCTGACCCCTGACCAGGAATGTGTGGGTTCAACAATAAGAGTTAATGAAGCCAATCGGACACACGCAGCTTCGTTAGGAGGTTGGGCTGAAGACTTAAAACAAGATCTTTTTGAGCTACAGCGGTGACAAATGCATACTCATCTGATATGTTTATATACTGCTTGACAAAACAGTATATAGACTGTCCATGAATGTCTTCGCTTCTGAAACCAATTCTATCAGGGTACAATTGGGACTTATTTTGATTAATCCCTCAAGTTTTAGTTAAAGCAATTTTGACTGTTGCCCTATCAGTCACATGTCACAGCTGCTGATAAAGGAGCTCTTGTTTTTTGAGTCGGCACGTCCCAGGTGCCGTGGAGTAGATAAAGCCCAGAGCCCAATGTCTCCAACTCAAGAGGAAACACTGGTCTGGTCCTAAAGCATTATCTCCTGAACAACCAGACAGATAGGGAGAAGGATTAGGTTAAAAGGGTGCCTTTCCCCATAGTGAGAGACCAAAATGGGTACACTGCAATAAGTGATGAAAAATAGCTCAAAAACGGCTTAAATTTGGCACAATGTGTCTTATTGTGAGCACATTTTGCAGACAAGAAATGTCTGCTTGGAATACTAAAATAAAGCAACAGTTCTTGAAATAAGACTTAATGGCTCTGTCCCATTGACAAATCTTGTTTGAAGACGGTCAGAATGTGCTCAAAATGAGATAAAAAACACCCAATTCAAGCAATTATCATCTCATATTCTATCATTTTTGACAGTGTAGTGTGTAGAAATGACATGAAAGAAAACAAATCATGCTTCCGTCTGTTAAATAGTAATCATCTATAGCAGGGGCGTTCAAATCGATCCTCAAAGTAGGTGGAGTTTGGTTGCTCTTGCTTAGTTGGAATGAAAACCTGCAGCTACTCTGCACTTAAATAATAGGTCTCTGCACTGGCTTTTTGTGGCTCCGAGAATAGACTTTAAAGTAGCTCTGTTTGAGTACAAGTCTCTCCTCTCATGTCCTCGTACCAAAGTACATCTGTGACATGTTAGATCCATATGAAGCAGCTGAGACTCTGAGGAGCACAGGGACTGGTCTCCTGCTTGTGACCGGTCAGGACTAAACACGGGAGGCGGCGTTTCAGAGTTATGTAGCTACAATCTGGGACAGTCTTCCTGAAAAAGTCAAGGACTGCAGATGGAAAGGTGCTAAATCTGGTGCAGCCATCATTTAATATAACTGCACATTGTCCTTAATAAACTAAACACAAATGTGAGACAAGCTTCTTCTCTGACTATAAATTCAAGTTAAAACAGTTTAGCTGTGCATACAAGGATTTTATTTTCACTCTTTTTAATACACTGTAATTGTTTTATAATTTTAATGCCTTGTATGATTTTTTTATTTAGTTCAGCGCTTTGAGTTTCCTTGTGTATGAAGAGTGCTGTACAAATATTTTGGCCCAATGTGCCTATAGAAATACATCATGTTATATATTCGTAGGCTTAGGCTGTATTTTACCTGCACAAACTGATGCAACCATCCCAGACACCAGTTAAAAGTGCTTATGTACCATTTATTACAGCTTATAAAATGACTATGATGTGTCCCCAGCCTCTAATTATCTGCTTTGATTTGAACAATTAACTCTACATCAAACTCAGCCTTAACTTGATGTGGTTGAGGTAATAATACTGTTATTTTAGCCGTGTTTAATCTGCAGCTACAAAGACACACACCCACTCATTTACTTGAAATCTAGAACCTTGACTTATGGGATCAATTAAAAAACATAAACTTATCTTGGCTGGGTTTTCCGTCGTTTGTGTTTTAGCTTGTAACTGCCACCGTCACTCATTCGACTGCTACTACGACCCTGAGGTGGAGCAGAGGAGGGAAAGTCTGGACGCCCACGGACACTTGAGAGGAGGAGGTGTCTGTCTCAACTGCCAGGTAAAAGCACCGGTCATAACTTAAAAATGTTCTGTGTTTTTGGAAAGTTTTATGTGATGTTGTTGAATCTTCTCAGCATCATACGACTGGGGTGAACTGTGAGCGCTGTATTCCAACCTTCTTCAGATCTCCTCAACACAGCATTGAGTCCCCACTGGCCTGTTCACGTGAGTTAAAAACAAAACAAGGGGTCATGGTTACTGCAGTACAGTGTTGTATGGTGACATGAAGGAGACCCCAAAATGATTTTTTGATAATAAAATAAAAGTCAAGGGTAAAACCAAACTGAACAATCCTATGAAACATAGAAACCAGGAAAAACAGGTAAACATAGACAGACAAAGACAATGGACCAGCAACAGATAGGGACGATCACAGATACTATATCAACACAGAGAGACACCGGGGAAGGGGGCAGCTCCTTAGTGGTATCAGGATGGGTCAAATGCAGAGGATGAATATTCCTATGGGGATAGAGATTATGGGAGGATGGGGGGTAAGAGAAGGCCTGAAGAGATGGTGAAGCCGACAACGCGGTGGTGAGGAAGAGTACGGTTGTTGCACGATATAAATCCTTCTATCAATGAGGCCTCGGTGAGGTTTCTCACTTTTTCCCACTGGGTTTTTATAATTAATTTTTCCTTACCAATGCAGGGCAGTCTATGGGCACTAGGACAGTGGTGATGATTCAGGACTTTTTTATGGATATTTATGGACATTGGTCATCTGCTCCTTTTGGATTTAAGTCTTTTATTATCATTGCATTTCTGTGTTGTGTTCGATGGTTTTGTAAAGTCCCCTGAGATAACTACTGTCGGGATTTAGGGTTATACAAGAATAAATTAAATTAAATTGAATTGAACCTAACGGGCTGGTGCTAAGTATACTGGGTGCAGTTCTGACTGCCACCCTGACCCAGAAATGGATAAAGGGGAAGAAGATGGATGGATGAATTGAACCTCCGCTCAAGCTTCATAATTCATAAGCTTGAGCATTTGTTCTTTTCTTTCATGTTGTGTTATTGCAGCTTGCGACTGCCGCTCCGAGTTCTCAGACGGCACATGTGAAGACTTCACTGGCCGATGTTTTTGTAAACCCAACTACTCCGGAGAGAACTGCGATTCCTGTGCCAGCGGCTTCATCAACTTCCCCGAGTGCTACCGTGAGTCCCAGAGAAATCACAGAAAGGCTTATTTTGATTCAAGCCTCTGACCTCTGTTTATGCACTGCTCTTCAGCCATTCCCACATATCCAACCACCAACAACAACGGAGAGGCCAAACCAGCTGGGGAGATTATCAGTAAGACACTTTCCTTATTGGACATACCCGGATTTTTGTTGCGTTTTGTGTTATTGGACCTGGTTGTGTAGAAGATTGTGAAAAAAATAGCTTTGGGGTATGATAAATAATTGCATCCACGTGGCAAGAATGCTGTTTTCTTGTTTAGGGAGGTTTGTTGGGGACTGAATATTATGGGAAGTCGAGCTAAACTTCATTCTCACTAGAAATCTGATTTTTGTTTACATTTCAAACATGGTATAGTGTTTGTGTGTGTGTGTGGGTCTGTGTGAGTGTGTGCCTATGTGTTTTTATTAAGTTACCACCCACACATTCTCTTGTTTTGTTATCTTAAAGCTGGGGTACCCAACTTAGTAAAATGAACAAATCAGATCACAGTATGCTGCCTGTAATGTACAGTTACCATAGCATTACTGTTAGCCGTTAGCATTTTGTCTTTAGTATTAACCTTTCAACAAATTGCTTTTGCTGTATTACAAGCTTGCTGTATAGTTACCAGTTTTAGCACATATTTTAAGTGAGTAAAAACCTTACTTTTAACAAAATTGGTGAAAACTGGCCATTTTTAGTATGACATTTTACATGATTTTCTCTGCAAATGAATGCATTTTTATAATTCCTTGCTTGTTTCTTTGTGTAGATTGTGAGTGCAGTGCTGCAGGGACCGTGGATAACTCATGCAGACCAGACCCCAGGACCAGGACCTGTGTGTGTAAACCCGGCTTCACTGGAGACCACTGTGACACTTGCGCTCCAGGCTTCCATGGACTCAACTGCCAAGGTTAGAGGGCTGTCCCGACTACACACAAAGAAGAAAGAATGTTATTTATATAGCAGATTTTATATTGAGTGTAGAATCGAAGGAGACAAATTATCTTGGAGTTGTTTTTAGATCCAATAATAATCCGCTAATCCGCTAATATCAGTGCCTCTACCCCTTCTCCAGTCTCAGTCCTGTAATTGTATGATGTCAATGTAACATATGACATATCAAACTCAGAGCTGTTTTTTTCTGTATTTTAAAACAAAAGTAATTCCCATAATTTAGTTTTGGTTATTTATCAAGTAAGATAACATGTTTTTTAAAAGAAAAGTAAAAAAAAAAAAAAAAAAGAAATACATACAGATTTAACACCCCCCTCTGGTGGCAGCATAGGGAGTTACAGACGGAAATAATTATTCCACTTCATACTTGTTTCTCAGTATATATTTTCTACTGAAGACTTGATTTCATATTCTAAGACATGAAATGTATTGATGCTTTTATATATCCTTTATAGAAGTTGAGCAGTTATTAAAAATATGAATCTGTATATATTTTTTATTAGGGCCGGGACTTTAACGCGTTAATCCCGATTAATTAACGCCACAAAATTGGTGCGTTAACGCCACAAAACTACTGCGCATTTTAATCGCATGTGTTTTTTCCACCGCGGAACCTTCCTTACTGGAGGATGAGTTTCAGACGGACCGATTATACTGGGGCGCCAATTGAGCTCCGTGACTTTTCTTGTTCAAAAGTACATCATACACACAATACAATACAATTGTATAGCCCTAGGTCACAACATAAGTCATCTCAGAGGACTTAACAAAACCATTGAAATCACCAACACAGGTCAGAGAATCAACAGTTAAAACACATGAAAAATATAAAGCACACACAGAAGAAAATGTCCATACATGTTGTAGAATGCTAAAGTGTCCTGATCATCACCAATCCTTTCTGTTGGACACTAACTGTCCAACAAGACCCTCCTGCATCGACAAGGAAAAACTCTTAAAAAACCCAGTGGGAAAAAGTGAGAAACCTTGGGGAGAACTAGGGAAACCCACAGGGAGGGAGACCCATATGAGAAAGGGATCCGCTCCTCCGGACGGACAGACTAATGATCTCATACTCTACATCATAACAAGTAGGTCTGGGCGATATAAACGGTATAAGCAATATAAATTTGGCCAACGGTAGAGATTTTTGTTATAACAGCATATTGCGGTAGGTCATTATGTCATCAAATTGCTGGGTTGCACGTGACGAAAGTGCTCCGAGGGACAGGAACTACATTACCCCACTAAGAACAATGTAAATATTCACTAATTCCGAGTTAAAATGCTCTTTTTCTGTGGCGTGTACAGTAGTGGCAACTGCTCATATCAAGTGGGAAACCTATGGAGTCTCTACTTTGCTATAAAAATTGACACCCGTTAAATTCTCTAACGGGTGTCAACGGCAGTCTTTACTTCGCTTACATTCATAGATACAATGCAGTATTTTTTTGTGGTATACGGTTGTAGTAATTGAGGCAACAGAAAGAAAGAACTGTTAAATACATTCTGATGTCAACCCCCGCTGTTCGCTCACTCACTGCTGTTAGCTTAACGCTACGGAGTTAAGCTAATAGCATAGCTCGTATTTTTGGTTATTTACAGCTCAAAAAATCACCGAAATGACAATAAAGGGTCAGATTTCTTGCTTCAAATGCTGTTTAAAGTAACATTTGTGCCATATTTATTGTGTTATTGATCAGAACTATCATCTCAGACGTGTTTCTGTTGATACCAGAGTGACTCCACTGTCGTCACTATAACAGCCTTAATCTTTCTCATTGTTGAAAAAAATGGACTCATTCAAACACTACAAAGCGTACGCTGCATTAAAATAGTTTTCACTCATAATAAGAGTGATACTAAGCCGCAAAAAGCTCCTATGTCTGCGTTTTCCAGCATTGCCCATTCTGTTTAATAGGAGAAAAATACTTCCTGTCCTACGGACACATGTCCCGCCCCCTTTTGGTTACGTGGTTGAAACCCAGCAATGCTTCTGTCACTCCCGTATTCGTCCCGGAAACCGGATTTGTCCGGAAGTTCAGTTTGATCCAATGAGCACAGGCAGCAGTAGATTACGTCACGGAATCTGGACGGAAGCGGAAGTAAATATGAAAAACTACCTATTCATGCCTAAACTTAACCAGCCATTCCCATAAAATAACCCCAACCCAGCCTTAACCCTAAACTTAACCATCTTAATCAGACGCCTAAACTTAACCAGTCACCACTTAAGGACATATTAAACTTTTTGACATGCGCAAACTGAACTTCCGGACGAATCCGGTTTCCGGGACGAATCCGGGAGTGACAACTCTTCTTCTTCTTCTTCTTTGACTGCTTAACGGCGGATGCGAACTGACTTAGCGCACTACCGCCACCCTCCAGATAGATTGCGTCTGATCAACCACCCAGCAATGCTGCTTGGAAGTTAAAGTTTTATAATGTTCTCTATCATTGCAGTTTTGCACAATACATTTAAATAAGTAACAATCTTGACTATTTCATTCAAGAACCTGCTAGACCTATATTGAAATTTACACACCAAATTATACCGCAATATATACCGTCTACCGTCTGTGTCCCAAATTATACCGCAATATGAATTTAAGGCCATATCGCCCACCCCTAATAACAAGCATAAACCAACTTTAGCGGTGTCTAAATCTGAGTGAATTAGATCCATGGTTAGAGACTGGAAAGAGCGCTGTGTATGGAGCTATGGTGTGTGAGGAGGAGCAGCAGCAAGCGACTCCTCAGAGAAGGAGCAGCAGCGACACAGGTGTGTGAGCTGCTAATGTTGATGTTTTAGTTCGAGTGCACAAACGTATTGTAAGCTTTAGTGCTCACTTCGAGTGCAGTGGATTTTGGTTATACAAAGCGTATGTTGTGGACAGAGTGTGTGGAGGCAATGACAGAAACGTTATTTGATGGGAAAGAAGTCCGTCTGATCATCCACATTGAACCTGTGTTGTTTAAGCTTATGTATTCAGTCATTATTCAATGGTAAACTAAAAATCCATGTGAAAAAATATACTTCTCACTGTTCTCAGGACTATTTACATGCGATTAAAATGTGATTAATTGCGATTCACAAAGCCTCTAATTAATTTGATTAATTTTTTTAATCGAGTCCCAGCCTTAATTTTTTTTAAACAAAACAAAGAATAAATTGAAATACATTCTAAAAAAATCAAACTCAAAAAATTACATTTCATATCATTTTAAAGCATCCCAACTGTATCTCCACAAACCTGACTGGTACTACTTGTCTTCCTTTTTGATTAAATTTTGTTTTGTTAAAATGAAGCTATACCTACAAAAATAATCTATCTAATAATCTTTCTATTCTATCTCCAGAATCCAGAAAATTGCTTTATACATATTGTTTTAGTTCACCTCTGTATCAGACACTCTTTAAGATAAGATAAGATGTGCTTTATTTATCTCACAAAGGAGAAATTTACATGTCACATTGGCATGGATAGAACACTAAGATTGTGCAAAAGAAAGAAATGTGCAAACATGTTAAATGCAGGATAATTATGTACAACAAAAGTGTCAAGTGTCAATTGGAAACAGTGTCAATAGTAGTGCAGGTTTTCTCACTTCTATGTACCCTAGCTGCAGCTGCCACAATGTTAAGACAATTTTGGTAAATAAAGTGGTCTTCCCTCCTTTTTCACCATCTCTCACAAGAATTTAAACTACTCAACTTATTGGTTTGTGTGTTTGTCCTTTGCCCACAACACTCTCAGACCCGATACATTGACAGACGAACTCCAAATGAGCAGCATTCCTCTGCAGGACACTAATCTCTGTAAAAACTGCACTGACACCTGCCTCAGTCTGGGAACTCATTCACAAAGTCAGCCCGTCTGCATAGAACTACAGCAGGTTTTCCCATAGTAACATTGGATTCCTTGTTTCACATTACAGATAATACAAGAATCTGAATCTGTATTTTATCATTGAGTTTATGATTATAGTCATATTAAAAGATTATTTCCCATTTTCAGTTTTACCTAGCTCTCTAGCCTTTTCATAATTTTGTTTTCTGTATTCTTATGTTTTACACTTATCTGTCCCCTTTGTCTAAATTGTCAAAACTATTGTTACACTGCGTTGAGGCCTCAGATTATGGCCTCTAAATTTGTATTTAGAGGCCATAACAAATTATGTTTTAAAGCTGGTATGGCTAATTTTCAAACCAAAAAAGTGATTAAAAAAAAGCTAGTTCCTTTCCTTTTTTCTATCACTAGTATTTTGGCCGCTGTCACTTTTTTAGATAATTTTTTTTAGACAAAAAAGTGAAAAAGAGAGGACCCACTCTCAAGTCAGGATTAGAATTATTTTTATTGCCATTGTGAGTAACAGGAAGTTGCAGGAAGAAATACCTTTGGCTCTCGGGGCAAACAAGATATACAGTACAAGTAAAAATAGAATAAGACATGCATAAAAATAAATAAGAAATCTACATAACATTTATTTAAAATTCTTTAAAAAGGTCAAATAGTGAATCACAGGGTTCTTTCTCACAAGTATGGAATATTATGAGGGATAAAAGTTAGGTTTCCTAACTTTTACATCTGCAGTCCTTCAATATGCACCAGGTTTGAATTATATGTAAAGTTTATCCATATATTTTCTACTTCCAAGATTATCACATGTCAAAAAATATAGCAAATAGCAAAGGAACTATTGTCAAGATAATGTTTAAATAATGCATTATACTTGTGTTTTTCACAGCCTGTCAGTGCTCCGGTCCCGGTTGCCAGGATGGGTCATGTGACTCAATAACAGGACATGGGGTCTGCCGTAGCGGTTTCCAAGGTTACGAGTGTGACAGATGTGGCCCAGGGTACTTCAACTACCCCCTCTGCCAACGTGAGTTAACATTAAATTAAATTTATTTATGTAATTGAACGAGCAGTTTCCTCAGAAGACTTCACCAAGTTGTCGATTCGCTAACAACAGATCAGAAAATCAAACAATTCAAACACTGGAAATGCAATAATAACAAACAAAGGAGCCATTGGTGCATAGGGAGCGGAATGGATTCTTTCTTTCTTATTTAAGTGCCTCTCTACTCTCCTCTAACCACTAGTCATGTGCATGTACTGTATCTGTGGCTCTCACAGCTTTATTTAATCCTGCAGTGGGGAAATTTCAATGCTACAGCACACAGAAAGGTAGAGTGAGAACCTACAAAGCACATTTATGGACTTTATCATCAGTATATGGATATTGGTTATCTGCCACTAATGGACCAACGGTTCTATGTGTTTTATCATTGCATTTCCTGTGTTTATTCTCTAATCTGTGTTGGCGACAGTTTTGTAAAGTATTCAGAGCCAACTATTGTTGTGATTTAGGGCAAAAATAAATTAAAAATAATTGAATTGTATTGAGCACAAAGACATGGTAGATGGTTGTAAAATAATACCTTTATATTGTATCACAAATCCTGCAATGTATTTGTAGCATTTATGTTGCTAGTTAAGTAGCTAATAGCAACACATACTAACAGTTGTAAGCTTAGTAGTAGTACAATTGGGCTATTTCAACCACCAAACTCAGAAGGACTAGGACTCAGGGAGAGAAGAGGCAAAGACTGGTCGTGTTGTTGCATATTAAAAAGGTACCATGTATTGTACACACATTTAGACAGACAATATAGAATTAGAATGGCCAAATACTCAAATGTACGCATTACCAGTGCTTCCTGGTTAGAGAATATATAACCGGCTGATTGGCCTGCCCCGGTCACGAGACGCACACGCAGGGGGAACGCAAAGATCAGTAGAGTAGAGCGAGGTATTACTTTTAACACATTTTTCACCTGTGTTACTTATTGATTTACAAAGTATTTACTAAAGTTGTCATAAAAACCTGTTTTGTTTCAGTCTGTGGCTGCAGCAGTATCGGTTCGATCCCAGAGGTTTGCGATGCCTCCGGTCGCTGTCTTTGTAAACCAGAATTCACTGGACCCAGGTGTGAACAGTGCCGCTCCGGATTCCACTCTTACCCAAACTGTGAAGGTGCGTGTGCGTTTACAAAGCATAGGATCAGAAGTATGTTCACATTTTTTGGTGGGAGTTATTGTCTCTAATTCAAGAAATGTTTTGTTGTTTTGTCAACTTTTAGTCTGAAACTGTCTAAAGACTGCTATGAATATTTACCAGTTTTTTTCGGCCCCCCATGAAAAACCCTCATTTGTTCTAAAATATAACCCGTCAGACGCATTATAAACTCACCACATCTGGAAATGCTTAACCTCATGAAGTGTTATACAGGCCTGTAAAACTTTTATGATCAGTTATTGTGGCTCCACCTGCACAAGATGAATGTATCCTCCTATAAAATGTGACAGAATGGTCCATGGACTATTGTAACTATTAATCTGGATTTAATCACATACTTTTGTGTTTCACTGTGTATGTGAAATGACGTTGTAATTTTTGTCTTTCTTGGGTGACTTGACTGATTGACCAGCTTCAATATTAGAGTTACAGTTCTAAACAGTGAAAACAGTAGACCGCCCTGTCCTTATTACAATCCAGTCAACAGGGGCAACAACAGAGGCTGGAAGTGGGCCTAGCTATCTCTAAAACACATGTGTAGAATGGAAGATTGAATTGAGTAGAGTTAAGTCTGGGGTTGTTACTTTTATTTAACTACTGAGTATTAACAATCTTGAATATCCTAAGCACCTGAACAATTCATGGGATTTACATATACAGTACATAACAAATGGGGCAGTTGTACAATAATAGGTTTTCTTGTTCGATTACAAACAGAGTGGGATGACCAATGTCCATAAATACAAATTAAGGTGCCCGCTCATCACTGTCCTTAGACCCCCCTGCATCAGCAGTCTCCCATTATACCTTCCCTAACCCCTCTCCAACACCCCTGTCTGGGGTCAGGACTCCCCTGAAAAAGAGATTCTAAAAACTCAGTGGAACTTTCCTGGTTAAATAAAGGTCAATACGTAGTAATAATGTTGTTATTTGGTTCTACTATATCAGACAATTGAAAGATACCAATGTTATTACCTTGACATATTTCAAGGGTTTACTTTCCTCTTCCTCTGAATAACCTTATTCTTCTAAGACAAGATGAACCTTCCTAAACTAATGAATAATTTGGTGTTTATCCAAGGTCATCTTTAGTGTCGTCATGCTGGCAAAGGGACTACAATGCTAACTCTTTCTTTCTGCTCCTCCAGTTTGCAGTTGTGACCTGCGCACGGCTCTGGACTCGTCCTGTTCTTCTTCAGGACACTGTCATTGTCGCCCAAACTACAGCGGTGCGTCCTGTGAGCAGTGCGCCCCCGGCTTCTACGGCTTCCCCAGCTGCTCCCGTAAGCCTCTCATCACCATCCTTCACATGACACACACAAAACCTTTCACTTCCATGTTTTTGCAGCTTGCCAGTGCTCTGCAGAAGGCTCCCGCTACAGCAGCTGCGATCAGGAGAGCGGCCAGTGCTCGTGTCTGCCCCGTGTGGTGGGGCAGAGGTGTGACAGCTGTGCTCACGGGGCGTATGGATTCCCACACTGCCAATGTAAGATCTGGGTACTATTTGATGTGTGTGGAACTATACATACTGAGTTCTTGTCTAATCTATGACATATACAGTACAGACCAAAAGTTTGAACACACCTTCTCATTCAAAGAGTCCTTTATTTTCATGACTATGAAAATTGTAGATTCACACTTGAGGCATCAAAACTATGAATTAACTCATGTGGAATTATGTACGTACTTAAAACAAAGTTTGAAACAACTGAAATTATGTCTTATATTCAAAGTAGCACCTTTCGATCTGATTTCTGCTTCAAACACTCTTGGCATTCTCTTGATGAGCTTCAAGAGGTAGTGACCTGAAATGGTCTTCCAACAGTCTTGAGAGAGTTCCCAGAGATACTTGTTGGGCCTTTCGCCTTCACTCTGTGGTCCAGCTCACCCGATAACCATCTGGATTGGGTTCAGGTCAGGTGACTGTGGAGGCCGGGTCATCTGGCCCAGCACCCACCACTATCCTTTTTGGTCAAATAGCCCTTACACAGCCTGGGTGTGAATGTACACTCAATAGTCATGAAAAAAAGTGCCAAAATGTCATTGTGCAAGATATTTCACCCACATTGCTTAGAATGGTGTTTGAATGAAGTGTTGGTGGTGGTCAGAGTGAACATCCATCAGCACATACTGATTGCTTGGGTCAGTGTGCTCCAGGGCAGCTGCGGCTACAGTAGTAATGTATCACCACTATGTATGGAATGAAAGAATAATGACATGTGAAGCGTCTTTGAGTGTCCTGAAAAGCACAATATTAAAACTGATGCATTAGTTGATTATATGTCAACTCTCTTCCAGCGGGCACCTGCCATCCTGCCGGCTCAGTCCAGTATGTGGTGCCGCCTCCAGTTGTAAGTTATTTATTTTAATTTACAGTTATAAAGAACCCTTCACATGCTTCTGTCTGCAATAGTCTAAAAGGATGTAATAAAGGTCTGCACTCTTGACTTAGAAGGATATCTTAATCTTTAATGACAACTGGAAAAGGGTTAATTTTCTATATTTTTCATACTCTTTTCTTAGGGCCAGTGTGAATGTCGCTCAAACGTGGAAGGTCCAGCCTGTGACCAGTGCAAAGCTCTGTTCTGGAACCTGTCCCCGGACACTCCTGACGGCTGCTCCAGTGAGAGACCAGAACCACCATGACACTACACATGAAAACATGTGTAATACGTTTGTGTGTTTTGTCCCACAGGCTGCGAATGCAACGTGGCTGGTACTGTGAGTGGAGTTGCTGAATGTGCACAGGTAAATCTTTATTGTGAGCTGACTTTGCCGTCTTCAAACTCCCGGATGGAACAGGGTCTTTTGCACATGTACAATCCTCCAGCTGCGGTAGTCCTGACAAAGCCGAGCATCAACATCTGGAGATGTGTCCCCAGGCACTGTTCTTTGGCGACCACTGCTCCTGATAGACGCCCTCATGGCATTAGGAGAAACGAAGTGCACCTTTACTTTGACCTTTTACAGTATAAGACCCCTTAGTTTGAGACCAGTGTGGTCCTGATGGAGACTTGGTTCATTAATTTCTTTCTTTATTTTGTCTAATGTATGCTGCCCTTTGAATTATGTACCTTATACTTAACCTAAAGTAATATATTTGAATGCTTCAGGAAACCGGCCAGTGTCACTGCAAACCCAACGTGTGCAGTGGAACCTGCTCCACGTGTAAAGACGGGTTCTACAACCTGCAGGAGCACAGCTACTTTGGATGCCAAGGTCTCGTTATTAATCATTTTAATAATCAATATCTATGGTATAAACTAACACGATCCTAATAATGTTTGTGTGGGTGCGTGTGTGATGTGTGTGTATACGTGCGTGTTCTGTGTAAATGTTTATGTGTGTGTAGGGTGCCAGTGTGACATCGGAGGAGCAGCTGGACAATCTTGCGGAGAGAGAAACGGACGTTGTCGGTGTCGACCCAACGTAGAGGGACCCAAATGTAATCTGTGAGTAGCAGCATGTGTATCAGGGCTTGCTTTCTCCTCTCCTATGACTAAGCTGCTAATTTTTCTTGGCAAAAGCCTCCAGTTCCTGTCCACACAAATTGTATTTGTTGTTGTATAGTCATCTCCTCTGAGGACTGTACTGAGTTGTAGGGAGACCAGTCCACAGGGGTCCCGCCATCACGCCATGAAACAGACAATGTGACAGTGGGTGAATAGCAATGAATAGACTACATCTGAAGTCATAGTGAGGACGGATGAGAGACTAGAGCTCAAGTACTTCTTCACGCAAAAAATCTCTTTTATTTGTTCCTGACTATCCTTTCTTTCTTAGCCCACGCCCTGATCATTTCTTCCCGGACTTGCATCACCTGAAGTTTGAGATCGAGGAGGGCACCATGCTGGATGGGAGACCGGTCCGCTTCGGGTACAACCCTGTGGAGTTCAGGGACTTCAGCTGGAGAGGGTACGCCCAGATGACCCCAATTCAGGTACGCACAACTGCTTTTTAGTATCTTTCATATGCTTTTAGTGCAAGTTACTTTGTGCTGAGGTCAATCATTATTGGGCTGTTAAGTGTGACGTAATTTCTCACTTATACAGTAAGTTAAACTATGCATCAACAACAAATGAGTGCTGCAGTGGGTCTAACTTTGTCAGGTCCTCATCAGGATCAGCAGTGGCAATAACACTGGAAACTTATGTAGAAAAATTGACAAGAGTACCTCGAATTGTTTTCTCTTCAAAATACAATTACAAAATTCTAAAACTATACTTGACTTAATACCAGAGTTAATGCCCTGTTCCATAGCAAACAGCTGTTAAGTTTTGCCTTGGCAATAAATTATGCTCACATCTACCACTCTCAAACCAAAGGAGAAGACAAATAAGTGTTGTAGAAGTGATAGTTACGTTATGTTTGAAGCAGAGGTCCTGTCCTCTTGTTTACAAATGCAGATAAAGCAGAAATTCAGACTGAAAGATTGTGCGGCATAGTCGTAGTGAGTCCTCCCTCACTGCACTGAGCTCATCACTTAAACAGCTTCTCAGTCCTGCCACATCAAGCTGCTGTTCGAGCTCACCTCCTCCCTATCACCTCCTCTTCAGTGAAGAAATGTCATTTTATTGGCTCAGCTTCCTTCACCAACAGGGTTTAGGCCCAGGGGATTCGCAAGCTTATACTCTGAATTAAATGTCCCCTTTCAGACATCATGCGATATTTCTGCTGGGGTCTATTTGTCAAATCATGAAGTTACTTATCATGGTGCTGCTGGGTCTAATTGACTTGTCATGCAGCTACATTATATTTAAGAAAACATTCCAATAAATATAATTCTAAGGCAATCCTTGTGATGAGGCTTTCCAGCATAAATTATCTTTAGCTTGGACCCATTTTAGCCCGTTTAAGATAAGAGATCCAAACTTCAATGTTACAGCGCACATACAGGACAGCAGTAAGTTTTACATCATCACTTAACAGCCCGATAAAGTGTGATATACAGTAGATGTATGGAAAAAATGTTTTAGTTTTTATTTTCAGTCAATTGCTTTATAAATTCACTGCTTTATAAATACATAAACAGTGGAATAGTTGTAATGTTTTGTCCTGTGGCCCTTTAACTGTGAGATTCATGCATGGACTTTCTCTGATGGTGACGGTGATAACATTTTATATTCTGCAAATGTCTTTTGTTTAACCAGGAAATCAAGACACTCATAAAACACACTGATCTATCCAAAATAATCCAGAATGACGATCCTTTCCTTCCAAGGGTCAAATATGTATTGAGTGTTTTGGTTTTTTGCTTTAACATGTCATTAATTAAATAACTATGGGTGTAACAATGTATTGGTCCAAGCTTTTCTGGTTTAGTCAAGAATCTATTAAAATCGGTCATTCTTTACATCTTCAAAAGGTGTTAAATGTTGAGCTCTTGACCACAGCTGAAGATGCCCATAAAGGGTTTCTTCAAGAGCACTAAAAAGGACAATGGGGGAGTGTTTTTGCTGAATTTGGATGCAAAAACACTCTTTGACTGTGCAAAAACACTCTTTGACATGATGCATATACTGTAAACAAGAAAGTGTGCGAGAAACATTTTCTCGTGAATTCATGCAAACTCTACAAAAAGAACACAGGATTTTAAAAAAAACACACACAGACACATCAATGACTTCTTAAAAATGGACATAGATTGTGATGCATCATGAATCATACTTTGTTACACCCCTAACATTAACATCCTGCATGTCATTTTTTAAAACTTTGTGGTGATCCTTTCTCTACCTCTTAACCCTCTGTCCCTCGTCCTTCCCGTCCATCCTCCTCTCCTTCCTCTCCTCTACTGTCCTCCTCTCACTTCTTCTCCTCCTCCTCTGGCTCCTCTTCCCTTCCTCCTCTCCTCTCCTCCTCCCGCCCTCTGTCTCTCTTCCCCTTCTTTCCTCTCTTCTGCTACTCATCTCCTCTCCTCGTCCCCTCTTCTCTCTTCCTCTCCTCATCTCCACTTCTCTCTTTCTCTCTCTCCTCCTCTCCCTCTACTCTCCCTTCTTTCTCTTCATCTCCTCATCTCCACTTATCTCTTTCTCTCTCTCCTCCTTTCCTCCTACTCTCCCTTCTCTCTCTTCTTTATCTTCCTCTCCTCCTCCCCTCTTTTCCTCCTCTGTATCCTCTCTTTTATCTCTCTCTCTTCCTGTCCTCCTCTCATCCCCTCTCTCCTCCTCTTCTCTCTCCTCCTCCCTCCTCCTCTCCTCTCCCCTCCTCTCCACTCTCCTCCTCTGCTCTCTCCTCCTCTCTCTTCTCTCCTCTCTCCTCCCCCCTCCTCTCCTCTCTCCTCCTCTCCTCGCTCCTCCTCTCCCTCCTCTCCTCCTCTGTCTCTGGAGCAGTCCCGGGTGGTGGTGCAGGTCTCGGTCGGCTCTCCAGACCTGTTCAAAGTCATGCTGAGGTTCTTGAACAGGGGAGGTGCTCCGGTGTGGGGCCGAGTCACCATCCTGGAGGAGGCGTGGCATTACTACTGCCACCACTGTAAGTTCAGGGCTGAGATACTGTTAGCCTGGCCAGAACAAGCTAATCACAAGATGAGATGACTTCAACATTATATACATACACAAACCTATACATTTGGTTGGGTTTTTGCCATAGACTTTATGATAGGAGAGGACAAAGTTATTGAAGACATCACCTATAGTGCTGTCTTCAATAAATAGCCGAAGCAGTATTTAGTCATAGAAGCCAGTGAAGGTCAGTGATTTTTGGTGCTAAAATAAAGTTTCGACTGGTAGCAAAACATGGCAACTATTTTATGGCTAATACAAGTGTTGTTTTGTTGTTTCTGGGGAAGAACTTTAGAAAGTCACTGGGAAGTTCAGAGTAGTTTACTTCTCAATGAAGGAAGAAAAGAGGGTCTCCAGGGAAGAAAGTAAAAAACCAAAAACTTTTGATCAAGCTCAGACCCAGAGCACATTTGATCTCATAAACCACAATGTCCTCTTTACAAAGAGCATAGTGGGAGAACGCTGCTTATCCCAATTTTCAGTTTTACATAGAGAACTAAAGGGAATGGAGCCAAAGATTACATTTCATTCACAAGCTCTTCCCTATAAGGCTTCATCTAGCTCTGCCCATCCTGATTATACAGTCTAGAGGCAATTGTTGCTGGTTGGCAGATATTGTATTATATTTAATTCTATATACACTACACATAAATGCAAATACTGGCCAGGCTAATGCTTATGTACTAAGATATGCAGTATTTTGAACTGTTTTCCCATAGTCATAAGTCATCACATATGACTATTGACACTGGTGAGCTTGGCATTGAATGTCAAAAAGGGACTTACAATAAAAGTCCAGCAAGGTTTTGTATTTCTATGTTATATGTGTGACGTCACGATCTCTCTATTAAAGACATCCACTCAAATATTAGAAATGTAGCTCTATATCAAAAACCTCTGACCGCCTTCCTCGATGCATCCTGTTTGGACTTACTCACAAATAACCTGGTGAAATACTCTTTCTTTACTTTCCCTCTTCTCTGTTCGTCGATGATAACAAACGTGGTGCTCCTTGCGTCCTCCTCTTGGGGCCACAGATCACAGTGGTTCTGGCAAAGCTCTTGTATTCATGGTATTCTCCCCTAAATGTTGTAGCCCGCGGTGAAGCTGCAGGTGTTTGTGAGTGAGGCCGACGTGTATCTCACTCGCTTCATCTTCAGATACGTAAACACTGAGGGCACCACCGCCAACGGTAAAATAACGGCCTATCAGGTCAAAGGTACGTGCTGCACATACGCTCTCTGACTGTGACGCTATTGTACGATGAGATAATGTGAGATAGGATACGCTTTTATTCGTCCCACAGTGGGGAAATGTCAATGTCATCGTTGCACATTACAGCAGAATAAAAGAAGCAAATAAGAGCACTCAGGTTGCTTACATCATGTCCCTCCCCTCCTCTTCCTCTCTCTCCTCTCTCTCGTCTCCCTTCTCTCCCTCCTCTCTCCCTCCTCTCTCTCTCCTCTCCCTTCTCTCTCTCCTCTTTCCTCTCTTCTCCTCTTCCTCCTCTCCCCTCCCCTCCCCTCCCCTCCTGTCTCTCCTCTCTCTCTCCTCTTTCCTCTCTTCTCCTCTTCCTCCTCTCCCCTCCCCTCCTGTCTCTCCTTTGTCTTCTATCTTTCCTCTCTCTCCCCCTCTTCTCTCTCCTCTCTTCCTTCCTTCCTCTGTTTCCTCTCCTACTCCTCTCTTCCTCTCCCTTTCCTCAAAGTAATAGATCAAACAGGATCTATAATTTGAGATAATAGATGATTAAATAAAATAATAAGATAATAAAATGAAACACTGGAGCAATGACGGCATTTGGTTCAAGGATAAGTCACTTGTGGTACTTTAGAAGTTTATATTATTTAGTGAAATAAACAATAGTAATAATAGCAGCAGGAAAAGTAACTAGTGAGTTGTGTGAAGCAAAAAATGTCTAGTTTGTGACTTCCTGTTTCTCAATCGCAATAAAAGTACTTTTGATTCTGATTCTGATTAACTTCTATATTTAAGGCTAAACAGAGTTTATATAGTAAAACACTAAAAAGTAAACTGTGTACAGAGATGACTGCTGTGTGTTCCAGGCTCCGAACAGTCCAAACAGATCGTCTTTGCCCCCAGCGCTGAGCCCACTTTTGTGAACGTCCCACAGAACAACTTTGTGGAGCCGTTTGTTCTGAACCCCGGATCCTGGACCGTGGTCATCGAGGCCGAGGGCATCCTGCTCGTGAGTGTTAATAACACATCAGGGAAACTAGGCACCAGAGACAGAAAGGATGCAATGGAGTTTGAATTTGTCTGCGGTTTGTTATCTGGAAGGAATTACCTTGGATATCACTATCACTTGGATATCACTATTTCACTATTTCAAATCTGATTAAAAACACCAGGATTACAAATATTTGAGTTTCCTTTGTTCATCAATTGTTTTTACAATGTAACTTTCAAATTCACAAGTATTTGGAGATGGCATAATGTGTTTATTTGAATTTTAAAGTAATCTAATCTAAAATCAATATTTTGATCTCATCTAGGATTACCTGGTGCTCCTCCCCAGTGCTTATTACGAGGCTCCAATTCTACAAATCAAAGTCACTGATCCCTGCACCTACGGCTCCGCGCCCGAAGTCAACCAAAAGTAAGTACAGTCAATCGCTTAGAAAAGAGGGGTTTTTAAACGTAGAGCTTCTACTTCAAAGATTTCGCTCATAGCTGCTTATTTAGAACATAACCTCCCCGATGAACAAGGGACCTCTATACGGTTAATTTCCCGACGCATTTGAACCTTCTTCTCTGGTTAATGCTGCCTCTCTCTCAGCTGCCTGCAGTACACGTACCTCTCTCTGGACTCGTTTCCCTACATCTCTGGTAATGATGCGAGCTGCAGGAACGACAACCACCTCCCTCGGCCCTGTCCCACGGAGAGAGTCACCCCCCGACACCCGGACATGGCCGTCTGCAGCGGCTTTGATGTACGTTTGTTTTATACAGGCTCTCACCAAACCACTTTATTTATATATCACATTTTATAAAACAAGTTTCCAAATTGCTGCCCAGAGATAAAAGTAACACATTTAAATATACAGTTTTGCCCGCTTTATAAAACAATATAATAAGTAAAACATTATGATGCGGCTTTAAAAGCCAGAACTGTTTGTTTCTAGGGGTATACACAAATATATGTAATTGAAATGTATATAGAGACAGTATTAATGTTTACTAATGTTAGTAACTGTGTGTGTTCCCGGGTCCTCAGATCAGCATCGAGCTCCGCAGTCACCTGCCAGCTCCAGGAGAATACATCCTGGTGGTGGAGTTTTCCAGTGAAGAGGAGCTCCCACAGACCCTGTCTGTGTCCGTGAACGAGCCCAGAGCCCGCGACCATCACAGCAGCCTCACCCTGTTGCACTGCAAATACAGGTGAGGCCTGGAGGCTTGTGGGACAGGACCAGGGTCTGGAGAAGTACAGTACGTGTGGCTAGGGAAGACTGGAAGTCTCTGTTCAGACTTCTGACTCTGGAACCTGGCCACAGATAAAGCAGAAGTAAATGGTTGGATATGTGGATGGAAATTACGGACAAGACAGATTCAGATTCATTTAATTTGCTAATTTCAGGAAAACCACTTTGGAATACAATTTCGAAGTCCCAAGTGTGCACCAGACTAGTCCATAAATAAAACAAGGTTAAAAGTACAGGAATAAAATAAATGTGAAATCGATCAACTAAAAGAGTTACAATACAAGTGCTTTGTTTAAACTGATTACAGCTTGTGGAAAGAAGATGTTATAAATAATAAATAATTGGTAAACATTTAAAGCTGGGGTACCTGACTTTTTGTTTTGTACCTAATAGAAAGAGTCGAACTGGTAAACTTTAAACATCGCTTTTTGTGAACATATCAGACCAAAACATTCTTTATCTTATTAGGAAAAACATGTTATCTTCTGCCCTCTGAGTCACTATTTGACAATTTGGGCTGATAGCTGATTGGCTGAGTGATGGTGGTCCTCTCTTTTTCACTGTTCTCTCTGAAAACCCCGATCAGAGGATGTGATACATGCATGTGAAAGCAAGTATAGATAGAGCCAAACTTTTTTGAGAGCGAGGAATGAGGCTTGAATTTTTTTAATAGTTCCATACAATTTGATAATTAGGTACCCCAGCTTTAACCCATGCAGAGTTATACAATACTGTTGAGAGCATTAATAATGTGGACTTGGCGTCGGCGTGTTTGCTGGAGTCTGACTGAAGCATTTGCAGTTGTTTCTGTGCTTGTGGACACAGCTGCCTCTCACTCAGCTGCGAGTCTCTGTGGCCGCTAAACCTGTCTCTTTTTTATGATTCGCCCACATGCCAAGTCTACAGAAGATTACCCCAAATGCTGGATAAAAACTACACAAATAACACCAAAAAGAAGAATAAGAATATTTTTAACCCATTTGCACAAAAAGGCCAGAGGGGAAAGGCACTAAGGAGGTTGTGATAGAGAAATTATCACTAGGTTTTTGGGCTTGTAAAAAAACTGTGTGTGTGTGTGCGTGCGTGTAGCTTCCTGTGTCGAGCCGTTGCCGTTGACGTCCAAAACCGCGTGTCCGTTTTCTTCCTTCCCGCCGACGCAGAGGTTCTCCTAAGTGCAGATCGGACCAGCTTCTTCCTGGTGAGAAACACAGTAATTCACTACAGTAGCATTAACTAGTATATATGAGCGACATTAGCATTTTGAAGTTTCCTGGAAATGTAAGGTGCAACAAATATAAAATGTATTTATATAATTATTACTATTATTAACACTTTGTACGAAGGGGAAAAAACAGATGACACTATCAATAAGAGATTTTTGTCAAAGACCAAAGTAAAATGTTGAATAATAACAACAAGTTGGAATACTTTTTTCATAGACTACAATTTAGTTTGGTCTTGTAAATAGTATTTTTTTTTTTTTATGTTCTGTGATAATTTATGATTTTAATGTTTTCTTGTTTTGTTCAGCACTTTGAATTGCCTTGTGTATGAATTGTGCTATATAAATAAACTTGCCTTGCCTAGTATTCCAGCAAGTATTGTAAAAATGAAATAAACAAATCAGACCAGAATATTCTGTCTTCAACTTTTTAACTACTTACCTGTTTTAAGAGAAGATAATTTTGCTTTTCCCATTCGGAAATCAAATCTAAATTTGAAAATGTTTTGACTTATTATTACTTCTCATCAATTTTTGCAGTGTATTTCTAAAGCTCTTTCCACAGCCCAGAAAGTGGCACATAATATTTCACAGTAAAAAAAAAAAACGGTGTTAAAACAGTCAAATAAGACATAGCATAGTTTGGCATGTTTCAGAAGCAACAGTTCTATAGGGGGAATTTACCACAGTACTCACCTGCTTGTCAAATTATTATGATATTCCAATATAACACAGCAGAAAAAATAAAGGATACAAAATCCTATATTTTTTATGCTGTGTGCCTTAAATGTACATTTGTGAACTGTGATTATGGTCCATCTTGATGTTCCTCTCTATAATTTCATCTGTCTACAGCACAAAGTGTTCCTGGTGCCGAAGGACCGGTTCTCCATGGAGTTTGTGGAGCCTAAAGTGAACTGTATCAGCACACACGGACAGTTCGCTCCAGACATGTAAATATTCTTCGTTTGCAAATCACTTTTTCTTCTTCACCCTCCGCAATCGTCTCCTCCTTTCCCAGCTTGTCCTGTGTCCCCTCCCGGTTCCAGACGCCCTCCAACTCCCTGGTGCTGAAGGAGGGCCAGAGCTCATCCATGCAGGAGCCCATCCAGGCCTTCCCCGCGGAGGCCTTCCCCTTGCCCTCCCCTCACGGAGCTCAGGGAGACCAGACCTGGAGCAGAACTGAGAGGCCTCCACTGGGGGCTGACAACGCAGACCACATCAGGCTCGACTCTGTGCAGGTGACATTATACAGAACTAATATTCAGCATTATTTTGGTTCAGTTTGTCTCTTAAACATTATCTAGAGATGTTTGATAGAGCTACACATCATCTTAATTAATTAGTTCATCCTCTCCAGGCATGCGTTGCAGATTTGCAACGACTTATTTTCTTATTATTTCAAATTCATTTTTTGACCCTTTTTTACTCATAAATATGACTGCTGGACTTAGTTTAGCTTTAGCAACAGTTTTCCACCTGCTCACCTGGGGCCGGAGCCTGGGGTGCCTCACTTCTAAAATGTCAGTCTTCTTGGTTTCACCGAAACAGATTTTCCAGGCATCCATTTCAAGTCAATATCACTACCAACCTCTAATCATTGGAAACCAAAACTGCACACAATGAAAGATGAAAATATACATAGATACAGTACATACCAATTTGTAGATTATATCTGCTATGGGTTTTCACCCGGGTCAGCTCTATTTACCACAGTGGGCCAGTGTTGCAGATCCCAGAATGCGTTGCCTGGGAAGGTCTCTCCCAAAAAAAATCTGAATAGTATATTACCACCCCATAGGACAATATTCCCCAAATATCAGATTTTTCCCATTGAAATTTAATTGGAAGGGAGCGCTTGAACACTTTTGCAGAGAGGTCATGTGTCCTTAGTGATTGAACACCCTTTACTTGACTGTGTTTGCTGGGTCATTGAGGAAAATATATTTACTATATCAATTAGAGAATTCTCATTTATCATAGTCAGGGTATTAGTAGCAGCCAGAATTATTCTCAAACATTGGACAACACCAAGCATTCCACACATTGAGGAAAGGGCAAATATGTTTTCAAAAATGCCTAGTATGAATATTTGCTTAAACTAGTGAACCATCTGTCTGGAATCCAAAAAGAATTCCGATTGCGATTTAGAAAAATGTTGTTCGACTTCGAAGTTCAATCTTTCTCGGTGCAGATTTTTACCACTTATAATTACAATAAATGAGTCCTTAGATGCCACAACTACAGGATTTGAGCTTCACAAAGATCCCAGCCATTTATATGCGCTTCAAAAGGTACATTACATAAAAAGGGTGAAGATACAATCCCTCTGTTGTATGCACAGCTACACAGAACTGTTTTTTAACCTGGATTTAGCATTTTCATAGTAGAAACATGTCTCATATTTTCAGGAAGACAGATTTTAGCTCCATCAACCTGAAATGCTGCCTCTCCATGTTTAGCCCATATTAAATCCTTTTTTGGGGCTGTTAGTAATTTTCCATTATCGCTATCACTAATTTTTCATTTTTATTCATACATTTTTCTCCTTTATTATTGTCCTTTAACATTACATTTCAACATAATTCATCTCTCATGTTTGTTTATGCCTGTGTTGTTCCCAGAATGCAGCTGTGTACTCCACTCGTGTCCAAGCTTTGGGCAGATATGTGTTCATCCTTCATTACCACCAGCCCCTGCACCCCTCCTACCCTCTGCAGGTCTACATCAACGGGGGACGTGTCTGGCAAGGTCCGTATCCGCCTCCAGGAGATAAACTCTCTCTGGTTTTCATCTGTCGTCTCTTCATGTGTTTCGTGTTTTTAAGTGATCTGCCATCAAAGTTAGTTCAACTATAAGCAGGGGTGCACATAACTTTTTCAGTGAGGTACTCAGATGAGAACCAGGACATGGTGTTTGGTACTCATTTGTCGCGCGGTTCTTAATAGAGATTTTATACTTGCTATATTACTATACTTTTAATGCTAAAGTTTAGATCAGCTCAGATTATCCACTCAATCCAAGTCAAATAACCCATTAAGGCCTGACACAGCTGATAAAACAGACCTGTAAAACCTATGGCCGATTTTAGAACCACCTCCAAAACCTGAAGTTTTCCAGAAATTCAACGTCTACAGAATGACTGATATCTCGGCCTCTGTAGCAGATTAGCAAGAATTTGAGAGCTGACACTTGTCAATACGAATGCAGTGTATTATTATAAACCTTCAGTAGAATAATAAAAAGATTATACAACTTCCACACAGGAAAGTTAATAAAACAACCAACAATAATGTGAGACTAACACATGTTTCTTCAAAAAATAAGTCAAAAAGAGTTTGGCAATAAAGTGGCACTAACTATATGGAAACAAATATTTTAAAAATCCACTCTCAGCCCAAAAGTCAAATAATGACTCACAGGGCTCTTTCTTACGCAAGTAAAATAAAAAAACAAGACTGTTTTGGTTTGTTCTGTTTGATTTGGTCACAACATTTAAATTTTGTGGTCAAATAACATGCATTGTCAATGCAAGCAAAAATTTAGGTACCTGAGCCTTAATTCAGTGAGTTTTGGCTTCGCTTCGTGTGGAGACTTGGGGGAGCTGTGGGAGAGGCATGGGGGAGAGACGGGGAAGAGGCGGGGGAGACAGGCAAGACCCGCACGTGCAACAACCTGGGGATGGGGATGATCGCGTGTCTATGGTTCTGTGCGCACGTCACTGGTCCGCGCTCGGTACATGACCTTGCGCGTTCGTGGAGCTGTCAAAGCGGCCACAGTTTCTCCCGGGGTCAGAACGGAGGATGTGATTGCATCACGCCCTCCTAGGGAGGAGCGCCCCACTATTTGAGAAGGACTGGTCCATGTGAAGTACGCAAAAGCGCTTACTAACTCAAGTGATAGTACGCATTTCTGATATTTGTGGCACATGCGTACCTCTTATGTGCACCCCTGTCTATAAGTAAGAATTAAACCGTGAGGAGCAAGGAGTAGTGAGGTTGTGTGGTTTGAATGTACAATGTTGTTTAAACCACCCAACAGCTCTGGTTTTACTGCTTATACTTTGTTCAAAACACTCACATGGACACTCGTAACCCGCTTCTGTATAGATACTCTTTCTTCAAACTCATTACACTACAGTGGGCAACATAACATTTGGTCTGATACTTTTGCCATTGCATAAAGCAGGGATACCTTGGCGACACGATGGCGGAGTGGATAGCACTCTCACTTCTCAGCAAAGTTGTGGGTTCAAATCCCGGTTAAAACAGGGCCTTTCTGAGTGGAGTTTGCATGTTCTCCATGTGTAGGTGTCCTCTGGTGCTCCAGTTTTCTCTACCACTAAAAACATATAATAGGTTTGAATGTAATAAGTGAATGAATGGATGGTGTTGGTTGGGGCTTTGATGCGCCAGTGTGTTCAGCGTATCGCTTCCGTCATTTGTCACGAACTGGCTTGAGGTTCGGACAAAACTGGAGTCCACACATATTTCAAAAAGGTACCAAAAATAGAATATTTATTTAAGAGGCTGCTACTGCCAGGTGAGAGAGGCCCATCAACTTCCTGACAGCACTTTTGAATGTGGCCAGTCCCACCCATCTCAGGTGCTGCCAGTCCCAATCAGCTCTCCTATTGGCTGGATCCTGAAAGGAGGAGAAAGCCAGCAGCAACACACAAAGCAGACAAGACTGGGGTCGTCACACCATGTGGAGAGAATAGAACTCTATCTGAACTCTGAACATTGTAAAGTGCTTTGAGTGACCTTGGTCTGTTAAAAACGCGTTACATAAATACAGATTGCTTACTTACCTAACTTTTATACAGAAAATGTAACTGATCAAATTGATTACATCTAACTAGTTCTTAGTTTGGTTCGATCAAACTAACCTGGTGCACACTGGGGTAGTCTTGCACAGTTTTTCCAATGTGGTTTTACTGCAAATGGCAAATAAATGAATCTGATCACTAGTTTTCACATCTTTAGATCAGCTTTCTCAGCCAGAAAAGTTAAAAAGAGCGGACCACCCTCTCCCAGCCAATCCGTCCTCAGCCTAAAGAGTCAAATAGTGACTTAAAGGGCTCTTTATTACAATTATGCAAAAGATAACATTATTTCTAATAATATGAATATTCATATTATGATCCGATTTGACTCTTTCTGCTGGGACAAACAACATGGACTACTTAGGGAGGGAGAGAAAGATGCCCCAGCTTTAAGGGAAATAATTACCCATGTGTTGTTTTGTATATTACTGATATTTCTCCCCCCACAGGTCAGACCAACGCCTCGTACTGCCCTCACGCTTTTGGCTGCAGGAACGTCCTCGTAGCTGAAAACCAGATCATTTTGGACGTCACGGATCACGAAGTCTTTCTCACTGTTCAGATCCCTGCTGGAAAAACTCTGTGGCTGGTGAGTAAAGCCTCCTGTACCTTCTGTTGTTGTTTCATTACTCTAAAGCAGTATACTCTGTCAGGATTATATGCTGGTCGTGCCGGAGTCGTCCTACAGCTCCAGTTATCTGTACGAAGAACCAATGGACAAATCCTATGACTTCATCACAACCTGTGGCCAGAAAAGCTTCTATATCAAGTAAGAGTCACAATTATGAAGACATTAGATTATGTACTTTCACTTTGGTCTGAAATATAGGTTTGTATTGATTTTAAAGTATTTTTTTTTGCCTCTACAACACTATATTTTTCATCTTTACAGCATAACATAAAGCAAACAAGATACAGTTTGAGAAATACAGTTTTACATACATTCAAAACATACATTTAAGGGTTCCCTTTGTTCACTCCTGCCAAAGCTCAAAAAGGAGTGGCAATAAGTCAAACTTGAAGTATGCTATTCTATGGTATGATTTGTATTTTTACAGGGACAGTGTACTATAAACATGAGTCAAAAGGAGAGCTGCATTGTACCAGGTTGAAGCAGCAGTGCTATTTTTCTGTAGTTCCTCAGGAGGTGGTAAAACAAAAATAGATGGATACATGATCATACATTTATCAAGCAGAAATTACAATTTGATTTACCATTTACTAGCTATAATACAAATACGCAGCTCCATTCTTCACTTTCTCTCTTACATACACGCATAATGAGCTCACATACACACTTTCTCTCTTACATACACGCATAATGAGCTCACATACACACACAGACAGACAGATACACAGATATTCTCTTCTGATCTAGTGACCAATAATTATTTCCAAACCTCATCAGTAATAGCTCCAAACAACTCAATAACTCCTCTCTCATGTCTCTGCAGTCCAACTGCAGCCTCTCCGTTCTGCTTGAGTTCTGCTGTCTCCCTCTCTGCCTTCTTCAACAACGGGGCCATGCCGTGTGCGTGCCATGAGGTGGGGGCGGAGAGCGACTCCTGCGAGCCGTTTGGGGGCCAGTGCCGTTGCAGACCTAATGTGATTGGACGAGACTGCTCCATGTGCGCCACAGGCTTCTGGGGGTTCCCCAACTGCAGACGTAAGCGACAGGGACACAGTAGGGATGGACAGTGCTAACCTGCTAGAGCACTAAAAGACTTACATTGAAAAGTGAACTCCTCTAGCTCCGTAACCGTTTGTGTCACACCATTTTGGCCTTAAAACAGCCTGGTGTTTATATTCGACAATGTCTAAGTACATCAAGATATGAGCCTGAACAACTGACCTATCAGGAGCATGCTGTCCAATAAATAGGCTTAGGCTAGCTAGTAGGTCAAGCGGGAAGAGACCAGCGCCACTCCTGATAGGATCTTTGGTTGGTCTTTGGTTGCTTGGTTTTTGCTACCCACAAAATTGGCTATTTGAACCTATTTGAGTTGGCTTTAATCAGCGACTTCCACAATAAGAAAAAACTAGGTGACATCCAGTCTTTCATCATTCTGGTTACACACGAAAGACTCAAACAGACAAAAGGTGCTCATACATGGTTCTCTCACCTATGAGAACTATGGCATGACATAAGCAAGATGGAAATCTGGTCTTAACCTTTGTTATAGCTGTGTTTTGAAGCGTTTCACTTCTGGCAGCTGTCCACATACTTGACTGTGGTTTTTTATGTTTTTCGCATTATGTGTTTTTCCCTTCAGCCTGTAACTGTGGCACCAGACTGTGTGAGCCGGTGACTGGAGACTGCATCTGCCCTCCCCGCACTCTGCTGCCCGAGTGCGTCCAGTGTGAGCCGCAGGCATTTGGCTGCCATCCGGTGGTCGGATGTGAGATTTGCAACTGCTCCAGAGCTGGCATCCTGTCCCCCGAGGCCAGCTGTGACCATCTCAGTGGCCAGTGCAGGTACAGACTGCAGAGATTTTAAGTAAATGGGATTTTGATTTGTGTTAGCGAAGGTACGATGTATGGAGGCAGCTTGGCAATGTTCATGTTTCCTTATGTCCAGTGGTGTCCAAATCTTTTAGTTAGAAGGCCACTTTAGTTAACCAGACTCATCCAGGGGCCGACAACCCCTGGATGTCGGCCCCTGGATCATTTGGATTATTCATTTGTCCATAAGGGGTAGATGACCAATTTCCATAAATGTTGATAAAATCCAAAAATGTTGTTCAATGTGGAGTGTCCTAGATCATCACCACTGTCCTTATTCCCTCCTGCTTTGGACGGGAAAGAAAGAAAAGAAAGAAATGGAAAGTGAGAAACCTCGGGGAGGCCCACATTGAGGGAGGGTTCCACTCCCACAGATGGACTGTCTGTAGATCCAGGATGGTGCCTGGATCTACAGACACTGATACTCAAGAAGTGATTTCTACCCAGAGATTGATTTAGGTCTTTTTCAGGTGTAAGGACAACGTTGTGGGTCGGCAGTGTGACCGCTGCTCTCCTGGGTTCTATGGTTTTCCAAACTGCAGACCGTGTGATTGTAACGACGCAGGGACAGAAGAGGACGTGTGCGACTCCTTTACCGGACAGTGTCTCTGCAAGGTTTGAATTCACTCATAATTTTCACTACAATCTGGACTACAAACAATTTTTTAATTTTTTAATGGGTTAAACAGAACTTAGTGACATGTTGAATGCATGTGTAAAACCTAACTGTGCTTTAAACTTCACTCCTGACCTGAAATTAGATAATACTATAATAATAATGCATCGGTTTTATATAGCCGTTTTTATGTCACATGTCATTATTCATTCACTCCATACACAGTGGTGATGAACTACCACTGTAGCCACAGCTGCCGTGGGGCACACTGATGGGAGGCAAGCGAGGCAAGCACATCACATCATTATTATATTATTATTTGGGACAAGCACAGAAAACATAGACAAACTGTCATACAGTAGTCTGATGGATGCATCATGGTGCTTATAGCCAAAGTTAGTTGTAATTAGACAAGTGCTGCAAATCAAACTAAAACTGTCTATTTGCTTTAACTTTACAATTGTCTGTTACTTTGTGGTATTCCAAAAGTTTTTTGTAAGCACTATATGTGAGAGAATGTTGCTCACAGTTCCACTTCCATAACATGTAGACAGAACCATGTTAAGTCACCTTTAACTTTCATCTATCTTCTCTGTGTTGTAGGAGAATGTCCAAGGGCCTCGCTGTGACCAGTGCAGAGTGGGCACCTTCCACCTGGACCCCACCAACCCCAAAGGCTGTACCAGCTGCTTCTGCTTCGGTGCCACTGACCGCTGCCGCAGTTCTGACAAGAGGCGCGTGGAGGTGGGTTTCCTGGACCCGTAGTTGTGTTGATGGTATGGTGTGATCTGGTTGTAAATGTGGTTGTCGGGTGCAGATCATGAACATGCAGGGCTGGGTGCTGCTGGGAGCCGACAGACAGGAAGTGCCTCTGAGTGTGTATCCGGGACAGGACCTGGTGGAGGCTGATATCACAGATGTCCCGGATATTTACCAGGACCTCCACTGGCACGCGCCAAAGACGTATTTAGGAGACAAGGTCAGTGTCTGCAACTCTCAACACACATACAATTCCACCTGTTGGTTAGACCCTTATCACAAGTACACCATCACCTCGCATCAAAGTACATACTTGTTGGTGCCACATGAAACAACTCAAACTCAACTTTTCACCACAAGGGAAACACAAATTAAAAGCAAATCAAAAATAAACTTCAGAATTTTGTATCTTCTAAAGTCACAGCAGGCTGCAGCCAGGTCCCTTTGACTTGTGTGTATTTTGAAAATCTGACTGTGAAGAAGTTTATGTAAAGGTATGAAGGGGAAGGTAAAGCAGTTTTATTATAACGCTAAATTGCCCATATATTTCCCACTTAACATACCTTGGCAGAATGAATACTTCTACAATGGCATAATATTACATTTAGCACTTCTCAACCTTTTCAAGGCACTTAAACCGCTTCACATCAAGGAACCAATCACAGTCTCACACATACACTCATACACCAGTGTATGACTCTGGGCTGGTTAAGTATCTCGTCCAAAGACACACAGCAACAGTCAGCGATGTGAGCTGGTCTCATCAATCTGGCAACTCAACCAATGATGTTTTAGATGGGAGCAGGATTGGAACCGCCAGGCTTCAGCTCAACACACACTCTACCAACTGAGCTTCTGTCGTCATTATTTGCGGTTGAATTCACAGAAATCATCCAATTCACACATAGTAAAGTATTGAGAAAATACTTTTTTCTTTATAGGAGTGTGTTTCCTCAGTGTTTTTCTAATCACTCCTGCGTGGACAGACTTATGCTTTTAAAACAACAGGCTGCTTCAGTTTATCTGTTCTATCTGGGTTTATTCAGTCAAGGTCAACTGCAGACGTCTGCGCTGAGACAAGTTCAGTAAAGACAAGGGTTTTATCTTTTTTCTGCTTGACAGCATCGCCTACACGCTGCATTTTACAATCAAGATGTGCATTCAGAATACAGTGATCCATTGTAATGAGCCAGTCTATTATAATCTGTTTTAAGGCTATTTTTTGTGTATTTAATAGAACCGTGACTTGGATAATCAAATGTAATTATAGGCTTCATAGTTAATTAATCGCAAATAAATAAATTAACCTGAGAACAGTGAGTGTATTTTTGCTTAAGCAACAAAATATTGTTTATTTTGTCCAACCAAGTCCAACAAAAAAGTGCACCTTTTGCCATTAATATTTCCTCCTAATTAGATTTCTTTAGTAAAGCCATATGTAATTTCTACCTCCTAGATGATGGTATTTTACTGTTACATGTTTATCCATTTGATTTTTACTGAAGTAATTATTCCACGTAAAACATGAATGTAAATATTCTCAAGATCTCATTATTAATCAAAATTGCTCAAATAGTGCATATACAACACAATACAATTCCATTCCATACCATGCTCTACATTACCCTTCCATACATTACCCTACACTACCCTACTCTACTTTACACCCTACCCTAATACAATTAAATGCAATACTAAATACAATACTGTACAATGTAGTATTTAATGGCGTCCTCCTGCACACTGTTTACCAACCGGCCGTCTGTGAGAGTCAAACCAGTCACAACATGCTAACAACCCACCTCTTTGAAGTTCATGGATCTTCATCAGTGTTGGGTCTACAAAGCTTTTATGTGGCTCACGACCTGCATCTCCTCCCAGACAATTCAGATCCCACAGATTACTCTTGCAGCAGAGAGGGAAGTCTGTCGTGTTGGATCTTGTGCTGCTTTGTTGTTGTGGATTACGTGCAGTGACGGTTTCCTGTCCTTTTGGCTGAAGGTTGAAGTTTTGTTTAGAGAAAGTTTGTCTAAGTAAGTAAGTAATCTTTATTTATATACCGCCTTTCACAGACCAGAGTCACAAAGCGGTTTACAATTGTTATTTTTGGGCACTTGTCCTCTCACTCCACAGAGAGATTGGAGCGGGGTCGCCGAACAGGAGGCGCATGCCAGACCTATTGTACATATTTTTAGTGGTAGGGGAAACCGGAGTACCCGGAGGAAACCTACGCAGACACGGGGAGAACATGCAAACTCCACTCAGAAAGGCCCTGGTCCGGCCGGGATTCGAACCCAGGACCTTCTTGCTGAGAGGCGTGAGTGCTATCCACTCAGCCACCGTGCCGCCGTCTGGTTGTCTATGTGAGATATCTTTAGTTCTATATGATGTTCAAATCAATGATAGGTTGAAAATAAATCGCTTGGTCTTCCCGGTGATTTGGCAAACATTGCATAGATACTGAGTAATTTGTATTGTGGATTTAAGCATTCCTATTATTTTTATTTGGGCTTCACACAAATTTTAGTCTCAGATAAAGGAAACCTTTAAGGGACACAGACATAACTTGGTTGTTCCAGATTTTGACCATAAATCGCAACTTCTTGCCATTGATACATCAGTGTTGTTGTAATTCATAATATTATAGTGACACCATTATTCTCTATCGACTCCTCTGACGATTCTTTTTTACAACTTGTATCCGCTGTCTTGTTGTTTCTTACTCAAAGCTCATGACTGTAGGTGATGGTGGGAAATTAGATTGGAAATTTCAAGAAAAAAGTCAATATTATCTTGCCTGCAGAACACGCTTCACCCGAGTGCTGACATAGAAACAAATGCAATTGTTACAAAGTGTTCCTTCTGTATTTGCAGGTGTCTTCTTACGGCGGCTCTCTTAGATACAGGCTTCACACTCAGACCATGAGAGGAGACGCTCTGCTCCCGGCTGAGTCCTCCAGGCCCGACGTCATCCTTAAGGTGAACACCCTCCTCAAAGCAATTACGATAGCTGGAAAAATTTATATGTTCTGCTTTATTCCCCATGAGCCTATTCAGATCTGTTATCATTATCTTATTCTAGTTTATTCTGTGTTTTTGTACAGGGGAACAAAATGACTCTAGTATTCATGGAGAGAGAATACCCCTCTGCCGAAGACCCACACAGTGGAATTGTGCACATTGTGGAGGTAAGAACAACTGTTTAAGAGATTACATTTAGGTAGACTCTATTTATCTAAAGTACCACTATCATTTAACCTGAGTAACCATGATTTAATTATGTTAGTTTTTCTCCTATAACAGTTATTAAAGTGGACATATCGTGTTTTCAAATAATTGATTTTTACATCTAAATCCAATCCAATCCACTTTATTTATATAGCACATTTAAACAACAAAACGTTTCCAAAGTGCTGAACAACAATAACAATAAAACAAAAACAATACAAATGAGCTCCACCAAATAAATAGAAATAAAACAATTTAAAAGACTGAATAGAAATAAAAACACATTAAAAACTACAAATAAAAATAAAATTCAATAAAATAGATAAAAAGACACAGGGGGACCACACAACTTACGCGGTGCTAAAAGCCAAAGAATAAAAGTGAGTCTTAAGACGGGATTTAAAACACTCCACGGTGGGGGCTGTACGGATGTGGAGGGGCAGAGCGTTCCACAGCTTAGGGCCGACAATGGAGAACGCTCTGTCCCCTCTGGTTTTACGGTTCGTCTTCAGAACCACGAGCTGGAGCTGGCCCTCAGACCTCAAAGCGCGAGAGGGCCGGTAAATTTGGATGAGGTCTGTAATATACTGAGGGGCCAGTCCATTCAAAGCTTTAAAAACAAACAATAAAATTTTAAAATCAATTCTAAAATTAACAGGGAGCCAGTGCAAGGACGCAAGGATTGGGGTAATATGTTCGCGTTTTTTGGTCCCTGTTAAGAGTCGTGCCGCAGCGTTCTGGACTAACTGCAAACGAGAGAGTGCTTTCTGGCTAATTCCCGAGTAAAGTGCGTTACAGTAGTCCAGACGGCTTGAAATAAAAGCGTGCACGACTTGCTCAAAAAGATTAAAAGATAAAAAGGGCTTAACTTTAGATAAAAGACGAAGATGATAAAAACTCGATTTTAAAACGCCATTAATCTGTTTATCAAATTTAAAATCACTGTCTATGGTGACGCCAAGGCTGGTGACCTTGGGATGCAAATAGTTTTGGAGTGATCCCAAGTCCGTGAGGTTACATCCAAATGTCATTACTTCTGTTTTTCCCTCGTTCAGTTTTAAAAAATTCTGGGCTAACCAAGCCTTGACGTCACCTAGACAGTCGAGCAGGGGTGTCAGGGGGCTGTGGTCATTCTTAGCAATGGGCATGTACCTTTGACAGTCATCTGCATAAAAGACATGCCATGTTTCTTAAAAATCTCTCCAAGTGGGAGGAGATATATTGCAAAAAAAATGGGTCCCAGGATAGATCCCTGGGGGACTCCACAGTGAAGCGGAGCAGAAGATGAAGTGGAGTCCCCCAGCCTGACGGAGAATGACCTCTCCGACAGGTAGGACCTAAACCACCCTAACGCGGTCCCCCTGACACCCACGCGATCTCTAAGGCGGTCTAAAAGAATTGTGTGGTCGACTGTGTCAAAAGCAGCCGTTAGGTCTAAAAGCACTAAAATGGCAGAGCCTCCAGAATCAGTCATTAAAAACAGGTCATTAAAAACCTTTAAGAGTGCAGATTCAGTACTGTGCAAAGCTTTGTAGCTTGACTGATATGGGTCTAAAGTGCCATTTTCATCTAAAAAAGGTTGCAACTGTGCAAAAACGCATTTCTCTAAAATTTTCGATACCATGGGTAGTTTGGAAATTGGCCGATAATTTGCCAAATTCGCAGGGTCAAGACCAGGTTTTTTAATCAAAGGCTCAACTACAGCTTTTTTACAAAAAGAGGGCACTATGCCAGAAGCCAAGCTGCTGTTGATGATCTCTTTAACAGAAGAGCCAATGGTGTCCCAAACCTCTTTAAAAAAGCGAGGAGGGACCGGATCTGTGGGACAGGAGGAGGGTTTAAGTTTTTTAACAATCCCTGTGAGCACAGACAATGACACAGACTCAAACTGACAAAAAACAGCTGAACATTGCGTGGATACCAAACTCCACAATGAAGAGGGAGAAATGTTGGCCCTAATAGCATCAACCTTCTCATGAAAAAAGGAGAGGAATTGTTCACAAGTTTCATTTGTCATCTCCAATGAAGTGGACGGACTTGGATTAAAAACAGAACCAATTGTTTTAAAAAGAACCCGAGGTTTACCGATATTATTCAAAATCAAGTTTGAGAAATATTGAGTTTTTTCAGCTTTAACAGTACTTTGATAATTTCTCCAACATTCTCTAAGAATCGCGTGCGAAACCTCCAAATGGTCCTTCTTCCACGTACGCTCCGCTCTCCGACACTCACGCCGAGCTGTGCGCGTAGTGTCATTGAGCCACGGTTCCTGCTTTGGCTTAGGACATATGGCTCTAAAAGGAGCAACACTGTCCAGGACTTCAGAGCAGGTGGAAATAAAAGAGTTCATCAATTGCTCCGTGTCCATAAATGCAGCGGAGTTTAGATGATCCAGAGGCGATGCAGTAAAAAGCGGACAAAAAGCAACGGCCGTGTCAGGCTTAATAACACGACCATGGCGCACGCAAGACAGCTTCAGCTCCAAGTCCAAAATAAAATCAAACATGACAGGGTTGTGGTCAGAAAACACGGCATCTCCCACAACGACATTGTTGACAGGAAAACCACACGACAACACAATGTCAAGCGTGTGCCCGTGCACTTGTGTTGGGCCAGAGACATGTTGTGTCAGATTAAAAGCTTCCACCAAGTCCAAAAACTCTCTGACCATGGGCTTAGAAGGACAACATACATGCATATTAAAATCTCCGACAATTAAAACCCTGTCGTAACGCGTGAGCACACAAGCAACAAATTCGTAAAAATCTCTAATAAAATCCTTGTTGTGCTTCGGTGGTCTGTAAACGACAGCGCACAGTACTGGGTCAGCCTGTCGCAGCTCAAAACAGCTCAGTTCAAATTAACAAAAAGACCATTCAGATACCACTTTGTGATTAACACAATTCTTTAAAACAGTAGCTATACCTCCGCCACGACCAGTGGTTCTCGGTGCGTTGATAAAAGTACAGTCCGGAGGTAATAACTCAGAGAAAGCAGTAGACTCCCCGCTGTTGATCCAAGTCTCCGTTAAAAACAGTACATCCAAAGCGCGCGATGTAAAGAAATCCTGCAGGATGAAAGTTTTATTCGCCACAGACCTCGCGTTGACCATTAATTTGTGGCCTATATAAAGCGTAACTTCAATGCCTGGGTCTGAGTCTCATCATTTGTAGCTCCACGGGCCTTTCTTCTACACCTGTTCTGAAGTGCGTCTGAGAGCAACCTGTTTTGGTGCTGTCTCTTTAACTGCAAATGAGGCGCTTTTGACCACCCACCCCATCCAGGTGACACAGGTTCAACTCCACCCCGAGCGGCCATTTTTGTAGTTTCTAAGCACAGATACAATTATCTCATAGAAACTTCTCATTACATCGCAAACATGAAGCAGTCCTTCCTCATTGACTGAAAGCAAATGTAAATTTTCATTCTTAGTCAAGTCTTATTATCGACTCTTCTCTTTTTAGCTTTGGGATCAATGCGCACAGTCTATGATGCTCACACGCCGGTTTGACAGACACGTTGACAGAAATTTTTAAATTGAATATTACTTATGCACAATTTTACAGCATTTAAAAACGTTAAGAACGTTTTTCCTTCTACAGAAGGAAAGAGACGCATGCACCTCCGGAGCCGCAGGTTGCCGACTCCTAGTTTATACAGTATGTGGAAGCAAATACTGTAGAGCAGCCATTCCCAAACTCAGTAACACCGAGGCCCCCTTAAAAATCTGACGGGTCTGCGTGGCCCCCCAAAATAATAACCAAGAAGACAACATTAAGAATAGGCTCTTCTGGTTATTTTATTTTGGGGAAACATTGTAATACAAAAATGATTACAGTGGATTATTCAAGTCAAATAATTAACACAAATATTTTAATATTACAAACAAAACATTATAAATTTAACATTAAATAATTATATTATTTTTTTATGACCTCCCTGCAGTACCCTCGCGGCCCACCAGGGGGCCGCGGACCCCACTTTGGGAGACACTGCTGTAGAGGATCAGGATATGTGCAGTTTCAACAATAAAATAAAATGCAATAGTCTACATTACAAGAGAGTAATAAACATGTCTCAGAGTGAGGGAGGTGGACACAGACAACACTATTGTTTGTTACAGGGATGAGAATTGGTCAAAAAAGACTGAAATGCATATTGTCAGCCATTTGCTGGCTCTAAATCTGTTTAATTTGTTCACAACATATTACTTTGGGCTCAAACATGAACTTTTAATGCAATGCAAAATTTAGGTATCAGAGCTTTATTTAGGGTGTTTAATCGCGCTTCGAGAGGAGAGGGGAGACGCGGACTGTTTCCTGCAGCAGTGTATTTATTGGGTGCACAGATTACTCAAAGACACGCATGGTCCTGTGCACGTTTATGGGGTTGGGTACATGGCAGGCTGCGCGCTCAGCCACAACACGGTGGAGCGGCTGCGAGCGGCTGGACGCGGAAGCTGCTCATTACAAAGCGGCCGCAGATGCCCCGGAACACTGCGGCCGCTGAGGTGGCGGAATCCCGTTCGAGTACATACAGCAGGTGCCCCGCGGATACGCGCGCCCCGCTCGAACAATTCTCAACGGATTTACACTTCTCATAAACATGTGTTTTGTATGAGGCAGACAGACCGGCCCAAATATGGGCATCCGCCCTTTGGGCATTGCCCGGTACGCCCGATGTCCAGTCCAGCCCTGTGCGCTGGCATCCTTGAGCTTGGACTACAAATTAAGTGATGCACAGTAGAGGAGGGCTGGGCCGAAGTGTTTTGTTAGACGCCCATGCCCTTATATAGCAGTCTCGCTGCAAATACTGTGACGTAATAATTCTAAACACGTAATAGAGAATGGCAAAATCAGAACGGGTTGAAAAATCTTACCTAAACAGAATATGAAGTGTTCTCTGCAACCCATGAAGAGACTGATTTCAACTTTTTTGCACTTCTAGAGGCTCCAACTACACAACATAAGGCATTTAAGGCACAAAAAGTGGATTTTTCATGATATGTCCCCTTTAAATGATACTAACATACTTTGTTTTTTGCTGTGTTTGCTGTCTGTAAAATTCAGCCCCTCCCTCTGGTGACAGCATATGGATAAGGCAGGCAGATAGCGTTATTTTACCCTTAATACTTTTTTCACTGTATATTTTCTACGTATTTACTATTTTAGAATGTGAAATAATTTACTATTTTTTCACATTCTAAAATGAGAAATGACAGAGTAAATAGTCTCAATATGCTTTTCAATGGCCAGTATTCATGTGTAATGTTTCTTATTTAAACCATAAACGAGGCAGGCATTTTTTTACTTGAAAGAGAAATGAACGTTCTGTACTTGAACTATGAGTAAAGTTGCTTCTTTTAAGTAAAATTGTACTGTTTTTTTGACATACTATGTACACAGCTCCTGTTACCACTACAGTTAACGAGTGTAGCTAGTCTGATTTTAAGTATCTCTACAACTGAAGGATTTTAAATGTACTCTTTTCAATGCACTGTGGCAATTTATTATTTTAATCCGGTTTTTAATTACTTGTGTGATTTTATTCTCTGTTTTTATAATTCTTGTGATCTTAATGTTTGTTTTTAATTGATTTTTTTGAGGTAAATGTACTGTATATTTTAATGTTTATGATTTGCTTGATGTGATATGGGTTGTGAGGCGCTTTGATCACAAGGCCTTGTGTAGGAAAGGCGCTCTACATTAAAAAGTTGATAGCTTGTATGAATGCTTTTCCAGGGCAGCTTCCTTCACGCTCAGACTGGCAATGCTGTGTCTCGAGAGGAGCTGATGATGGTGCTGGTCTCGCTGGAGTCTCTTCAGATCCGGGCGCTTCACTCGCAGTCGGCCCACTCCGTGTCCATCCGAGGAGCCGTGCTGGAGGGGGCCGAGACCCAACCCTCGGGACGACATGCTAACAACGTGGAGATCTGCATGTGCCCCGCCAACTATCAAGGAGACTCCTGCCAGGTCAGTGCCTCATGTAGCCCTTGGTAAACAGGCTAGTGACATGGTGGGGAAAGAAAAATAACCCAAAACACAGAACTGCAAAAATAATGGATTTAATAAAACAAAATCCAGTGAAAACACAAAATGTAACCAAAGAGGGACTGAAGATCAAGGTATAAATACATAAGATTAACAAGACACAGGTGATACACATGAGGGCAGGGCAGGTAATTAGAAACAGGAAGTTGAACTAAAGATACAGGGGTAACAAGTGACAAATGAAACCAGGAAATAAACCTAAACCATGACAGCTCTAGCCCCATGTCAATCTGGAGTGATGGGTAAGAGCAAGGGTAAGGGTTACTAGAACATTATGGTGCGGTGTAAGCTGGGTGTCAAAGTGCTGGGTGTCAAAGCGCTCTACCATGTGCTTTTGATTCACTTATCCATCTAAGGTCATAAAAATGTGATTAAAATCAGTGTTTATACTGTTGTGTGCAATTCAATTCATTTTTGAATAGCCCTAAATCACATCTGCAGTCGTCTCGGAAGACATTACAAAGTTGGGGATTACAAACCATGAATCAGAGAATAACAGTTTGAACTCTGGAAATGGAATAATAACAAACACATAGGAGGGTCAAAGGACAGTGTTGATGATTCAGAACACTGAACATTCATTTATTTATGGACTTTATAAACATTTATGGACATTGGTTAACTGCTCCTCATGGAAGAGTGGCTATATGTGTTTTTATCATTGCATTGCTTGCCTTTGAACTGTTTGATTCTCTGATCTGTGTTGGCAAATTCAACAGTTTTGTTAAGTCCTCTGAGAGAACTGCAGTTGGGATTTAGGGCAATATAAGGATAAATTAAAGTGAATTGAATATGACTGAGCATAAATGTCCTGGCTTTGTGGAAAACTCTTTTTTTATGTCTCCCAACACCCTGAGGTTCTCTGTTGTTCATAAAGTAGACAACATAAAGCTGCTGCTGTATATAATGGTTTATGTAATATTGTATTACATCTGTTCTCCTCTTTGTTTTCCTTACACTCCACAGAATTGTGCTCCCGGTTTCTACAGAGACACCATCGGTCTGTTTTTGGGTAAATGTGTGCCTTGTAACTGCAACGGACACTCAGACCAGTGTTTGGACGGATCTGGCATCTGTGTGGTAAGAACCATTACTGTTAAAGCTGGGGTACCTGACTTTTTGTTTCAGAAATATTAAGATAAGGGACCCTTTAGATCCTCTATTTTCCCACAGTGGGGAAATTTCAGTGATATATCAGTAGGAATGAGGAAAAACAGTCATATCATCACATTGAAAAAAAAATCTGTAGCATAAAAAGAAGCAGTATAAAATCTCTGTCTTAAGCATCATAAGGAAAGAAGTCTTAAATCTTCAGCAGGATGAATAAGCAAGAATTTAGTAGAAAACCGTAATAGACAAAGGAACTTAGAAAAAATAGTTAAGCATATTTGTGGTTTGAAAGGTATCCAAGCTATAAACTTATACTATTGTCATGTTTATTGGTATTATTATTTTGAATACTTTATTGTGTTTCCTTAGTACATTTTAACTACATGCATGCATCCACATAGATACAGTACATTATGCCTATTTACAAACATAGCTTCAGTTAAATGCATATACATATTTCTATATAATATATCTATTTTCTGAATCAGAATTATGTTTAAAGGAAGTAATTAACCAAGAAATTGCTTAGAAATAAAAATGGAATAAAGCACAAAGCATTTCTTAAAATTACTAAAAGATACAAGGGCAATAATTACATACCCATTGTGATTGTAGAGGTATCATAATTGTTGAATGTAATTTTCCTCAGAACTGCCGTCACAACACCGCGGGCGACCACTGTGAGAAGTGTCTGGGTGGTTTCATGGGTAACAACTCGCTGGACGGTCAGGCGGTGTCCTGCTCCAGCTGCCCCTGTCCTCTCAGCGTCTCCTCCAACAAGTCAGTTTCTGTGTCTGTTTTATCATCTTCAACATTAGAGTTTCTGTGGCTGACTTTTCCTCTGCTTCTGTAGTTTTGCAGAAGGCTGCGTGCAGAAGAGCGAACGGATGCAGTGTCTGTGTATGCCCGGATACGCAGGCCCCCACTGTGAACGGTAACCCAAAACTCCTCTGCATCATCTTTATACTGTAGTAGTAGTGATCTAATAGTAGTAAGTTTGTTTATATAGAGAAGTTAATTCACAAGTGCACAAGACATTCATTTAATTAATAATCACAGTACTTTAAAAGCAGTGATCCAGTTGAATGCACAGCTAAATAGAACTGTTTTATCCTGGATTTGAACATTGAACATTGGAGTAGAAGTCTGTCTCACATTTTCAGGGAGACTGTTCCAGACTTTAACTGCATAAATATGAATCGACTCTGGACACCAGCAGGAGGCCAGTCCCTGTGCTCCTCAGAGTCAGTTAGTTCATATGGCACTAACATGTCACAGGGTGTACTATGCCGGGCCACTTCCAGAGACTTACACACAAGTAATTCATACTTAATAGCGCATTTCACTAATAAAATAAAAAGTCCAGGTGAAAACAAATCACCAGGGAACCAGTAACAGGATGAAACAGAACAGACATTGACAAAAAAAAAGGAACCAGCAACGAGGGGAGAGGAGCACAGGGTACATATAGCAGACAGAGAACTAATGTCAAAATATAAACAAATTCAGAAATAAAATCCACATCATGACACATAAAGCAATAAAGAAGTACTTTGCAGACTGGAGCAGGGACAAGGCGAGGCTAAAGAGAAACAAATCATCTAATTATACTTGATTTAGATAGAAATGGATTCAGCATAGAAATATCAATGCTGAATCCAAATAGGCAAGTGCTGATGAATGAGTTTTTACTATAGCGACTGAAAAATAACAATAACATTTGTGTCACTTGCACACACCATTTTGGGCTCACGTCGAGAATGTTTTTATTTTGATATTGAACAGCCTCAATCCAGTTTGTATCTTTGGTTGCTATGGGGTTGCTATGAGAAAGCAATGGAGCGTGGTAGGGCTAGTTCCTTTCGGTTCAATAAATGCTGCGGTCATTCTATAAATTTGGTGTGGATTTGCTGCTGCCCTTGACTCCTGTGTCGTCCTCCTTGCCAGGTGTGCCCCAGGGTACTACGGGAACCCCATGGTGATCGGGAGCAGGTGCGAGCCGTGCCAGTGTAACGGCAACACGGACAGTAACATGCTTTTCACCGACTGCCACCCTCTGACCGGAGAGTGTCTGGGCTGCATGCACAACAGCGCCGGACCCCACTGTGAGCTGTGTGCCCCTGGGTACTATGGAGACGCCATCCACGCCCAGAACTGCACCAGTGAGTCACCACTTTGCAGTAATTAGAGCAGAAACTACATGAGGGAAGTTTACAAATAGAGGAGAAAAATCGCCAAATCCAAATTAATTCCTATTAATCAAGATATATGTACATCTGGGGGCACCGATTGTGGTGTGAAAAAACAGTTCCCTTGGTGTAACAAGATTTCTTCTCTGTTTACTCTGGCATATACCACTTAAACCAGATACCTCTAAGAGAGGCTTTGCCAGCAGATGCATTTAAGAGCACAGGGAAAATAATCTTGTATTGGAAATGATCATTGCAATGAAGCACACAGTCCCTTACTCACTTTGTTTTGAAAACATATTCTGCAAAATTGACTTTTTTTTAGCTTTTAACCATTTTTTCCCCATCAATGACAGACCTGGACTATCTGTTGGGAGTTCTTGTCTCTGTTCAGCCCTAGTTTTGGCAGTATCTACGATGAAATTACGGTCTTTGCAATCACATTCTATTTGTGGTCGATAATTTTAAAATTTTGTTAGAAACAAAGTGGTGTGAGCGGTTTGTGAGCAATGCCAAAAAGCGTCCCGTTTTATTACGTACTCTATCCTCTGTAGGCATACTCCATGTGGACCAGGGATTTACATAAAACTGTCAAATAGATTAATGCTGTTGATGTATTAACTGCAGTGTTGGGTGTAACGCGTCACAAAGTCGAGCATAATACAGTCCCTAAAAGAACCAAGTAAAGTAATTTAGTTACTTTCTAAAATCGCTAAAGAAAGTAACAAAGTAAAGTAACAAGTTACTTTATAAAATGATAAACGTTAAAAGTAACTTTTTAAAAGTAACTTTTTAAAAGTAACTTCCCCAACACTGATTAATTGTAGCTACTAGGGGTGTGACGATATATCAATTTTTCGATATATCGCAATACTTTCTCCCGCGTAATCGTTATCGTGATATTGTTATCGTGATATTATCGTTATCGTGAGCTTTGTATCGTGTATCGTATCGTATCGTGAGGTACCCTTAGGTTCCCACCCCTAGTAGCTACGCTCTCACAAGCCACTTACTATACATTAGGTTTCAACCCACTAACTAAATGCATTTCTTATCCCAGAATGCAGCTGCTCTCCCTGTGGTACTGACTCATGTGACCCACACACGGGACAGTGTCGATGCAAACCCGGAGTCACCGGCCGTCTCTGCGATTGCTGTGAGGTGAGAATGAGGAAAGAAGGTTGAGTTCATTCAAAGAGTGTTGTCAATACATCTACAGAGTAAGTGCTCATAATGTAGCTACTTTTACCTACTTCCACAAGTGCAAAAGTTCAAGTTGTAGAAGTACTTTTGAATGCCATTGTAACTGCACTGGATCAAAAAAACTATCCTACTCCAAAACCTGAGACTATTGGACGTTCCTGTGTTGTTGCTCTTCAGGATGGCATGTTTGGCTTCGACTCCTGCTCTGGCTGCCGTGTCTGTGACTGTGAAGCCTCGGCTGCTCTGCTCCAGCCCTGTGACCCTCAGACCGGGGCCTGCTCCTGTCAGCCCGGAGTCAATGGCCCTAACTGCAAACAGTGTGCACCCGGACACTGGGACTACACGCCTGAGGGATGCAAGAGTGAGTACAATAAATTAATGCTCTGTTTGTTAAGACATGTAGCGCTGTAAAAGTTTGTTTCTTTTCATTTATTTTATTTCATTGATTTCATTACAAAATCCTGTGGCTCAGAGAATAGACTTTAAAGCAGCTCTGTTTGTTACAAGTCTCTTCATGGCCTCGTACCAAAGTACATCTGTGACATGTCAGCGCCATATGAACCAACTTTGAGGAGCACAGGGACTGGCTTCCTGCTGGTACTCAGAGTCAGGACTAGACATGGGGCGCTTCATATTTATGCAGTTAATATCTGGAACAGTCTTCTTGAAAATGTGAACTTAGCTTCTACTCAGGCAATGTTCAAATTCAAGTTAAAACAGTTCTGTTTAGCTTTCCAAACACCTGAAGGGTTGTATCTTGTTAATGTTTGTGATTATTCATGATTTTAATGTATTGTGTGGTTTTAATGTTTCTTGTTACCTTGTGTATGAACTGTGCTACACAAATGTGGTTGTGTTGTTCCAGAGTGTAACTGCAGAGGGGGCCGCTGTGACCCCAGAACAGGGGAGTGCCGCTGTCCTGACGGGATGACGGGAAAACAGTGTGACGTCTGCACAAACAAGTACAGCGTGCCCATGGAACACCACCACACCATGCACTGTGAACGTAAGCTGCCCAGTTCCCCCTGCTGGCATTATCCCATTCACAACATTTGAAATGAGAGTTGTTTGTGTTGTCATTTTGTCAAGAGTAATTTTGCATAGCCCTTAAACACAACAGCATCATCTCGGAAGACTTTATAATGTTGTTGATTCACCCACAACAAATCAGAGAACGAACCGTTTGAACACAGGAGATGCAATATTCACAAACTTATAGGAGCCATTGGTCCATAGGGAGCGGGATGACCAATGTTTATAAATGCCCATAAATGTCCCTAGACCCTCCTGAGTCAGCAAGGAACAACTCAAAGGTTGAACTGCTAGCAAAGGACATCTTTTACCTTTTATTTCTGATTTAAAGGGAATGAAGAACATCTTTACAAAACATGAGAATGACAGAGAAAATTAGGAAGATAATAATAGTTATAAAGTACAAAAATAATTACTATAAAACTAAAATAGAAAAATAAAAAACTTGGACTTCATTACATACATGTTCACATGCACTTTCATGCACATGCACAAATATTACAAATATCCGGTACACAAATATCCGGTGGCAGGAGCTTACACACAACCACATATACAGGACTTTGCCAAACCACCGACAATATATTGTCAAAAAAGTCGTCAGCCACCAATTGTGCAAGTCCTCCCGCTGAAAAAGATGAGAGATGCCTGGAATGAGAGATAAATAATGAGAATAAAATCCAAAAAAAGTTATGCTTATTACTAAAGAAGCTTTTTGGCAAACTAAGGTAAAATTAAGTAGGAAGCTAGTCAATAACAAAATCCATCTCAATTCTATGTTATAAACCCTGTTGGCATTGTCAGAGGTTAAACACTTTCTGTTTCGTCTTCACAAGGTTTTCTCACACTGGAATTTTGGCCCATTCCTCCATCATATCTCTACCACTGATATGTACAAGTGAATGTCTTTTGTTTGCTCAGCCTGTGACAGCTGTGTGATCGTTCTGCTGGAGGATTTGGATAAGATGAACGGGAACTTTTCATCCGTGTCTGCTCAGCTCCAGAACCTGAACGCCAGCTCCATCGCTTGGGCCCAACTGGACAACCTCAACAAGACCATGGAGGACATCTCTGTGAGACACTTTCATTACAGACACAGGAAGAGATACATATTTTGTTTTAGTTATGTGTCTTCATAGTTTTGTTCTTTCAAAAGGAACCACCACAACTTAGATTCATTGCTTCATGTCATATACACGATCAACAGAGAGATAGATGTAGAGAGAGATAGATACTGAAATGCAGGTGCCTTGCAACAGAAACACAAACAGATACATCATTCTATAAGTTACTAACAATAGTATAATGTTATTAACTTATGTATTGATTTATTTGAACAGGGGCAGTGCACAAGAATTAATATTTACCATAATAAAAAAAGCCACCATATAATCCCTACTTAAATTTGGGGCCATCCTTAATATTTCTCCAATTTACAGAAAGGCTTTGTCTCTTAAGTTATAGCATTTTGAAATCAAGATTGAGCAATAAAACTTCTGTCACCTAAAGGGTTAATCATGCGTTTTTAATGCCATGTATTGTTGTGTTATGGCATTAACCTTCACAGAAAGCAGAAAATATGACCATCCTTATTAAATCTTGTCTTTTCTTTCAGCGCTCCATTGACAACTACAACAGCAGTCTGGACACGAGTAGAGACCGAGCCGACCTGCTGGAGGCTGAGGTCGCTAATATCAACTCTGACATTGATGAGTTACAAGACAAGGTCTGTTCAACTTTAACCAAAAAAATCAATCAACTACAAGGACAATTATGATTTTTGAATGTGTTCTAGGCATCGGCAATGAGTGAGCGCGCCGGAAACCTTGGGGACAGAACAAACTCGACTCACCAGAAAGCAGAGGACTTACTGTCTTTCATCAACAACATAACAATGAATATTAATGGTAATGTGTTGAAGTACTGTACATAATTTATTGGTAAAACTTCAGGACTAGTTTTGTCCTTGGAATCGATAATGGAGTGGCTTGCCATAGTTAGTAATTGCCAAATTAATTATCAAATTGATTTTATATATTGTGTGCTTGAATTTTGGCAACACAATTAACCCTCCATATTTTCTGCTTTTAACCTCAATATCCTGCAATATGAGGAAAAACTGCTAATGTATATATTCTTCATAGTTTGGACGATAGAAAACAGACTTGGAAGGAAAACATCAATGTATTACTGATTGTAAAACGTTTCTTCATATAAGAAATAAAGGGCTCATAAATGTACAACATTTTGGTTACAGCAGCAGAGGTGGTGTAACCGCTGGGTGGAGCAGGAGAGGTCATTTTTTTATATAGCAGAAATAGTGTAACCGCTGGGTGGAGCAGGACAGGTCAGAGCTGCAGAGGTGGAGTAGCCTCTTGGTTCAGACCACTGTCTCTGCTCTTGTTCAAAGTGAGATGTTAGATGTGTTTACAAACATCTATCATTACTCCAGTTTCGCCTGATCTCCTCTGGTCTGGACCATGAAAACTGCCCTGCAGCAACATCCCAGGTAGAAAAAGCTAGAAAAAAAAAATGTAAAACACAAAACAACAATTGTTTCAGAGCGACTTAGGACTTGCTGCCGTTTCCAGTGCATTCCTGAATATCAGGACAGCAACATTTGGCTAAAATGTACTTTACCTTTTGTTCCCAGACATTCTCTCCATGTCAAACCGCTCGCTGAATACCACAGAGGAAGACCAGGATGACGATGAGAGAGCGAGGATGATGAACCAGGTGGCGGCCATGCTCCGGGAGATGAGGTTCAGGAGCTGCAGCGGACAGAAGAAAATTGCCGAACACGAGAAGACACAGGCACAGAAGTGTAAGTGTCTATGAACAGGAGTTTTGCCACATGTGCAGTGATGCAGTAGCTATGATGGACTGTTGAAGGGCCTGTATAAAGACAGAGAAGAGAGATGGCTGTTAACCAGTTTGATGCTGAGCATAGGCAAGCTTTAGTAAAACTAGGGGGGAAGAGCATATTCAGTACTATCACTGTCTATTCTGTCTCTGAAATTAAGTAAGTAAGTAAGTAAGCTTTATTTATACAGCGCCTTTCACAGACCAAGGCCACAAAGCGCTTCACAGTTTAAACAGGTAAAAACAGACAAAATACAATTTAAAATGTGCGTATACAAAAAATAATACTAAATATACAGTCAATATAATGGCCAAGACACCTCAGTGACAGGTTTAAAAACAGCCGCAAGAAAAAAATTAGCGCTATTCCTGATTGGTTGTTTAGTTGCTAGGTTCATTGGGTGCTTTCTGTGTGTCCTGGGTCTCTGGGGTTTCCTGCCGGTGGGACTTGCCCAGAACCTCTGTACCCAGCCTGAAACTTGTGTCATAACCATTGAACTACAACAAATCTTGACAATAATGTTCAACCATGTTTAGGCCGGAGACTGTTGAACTTTCTGACTGATCCATATCTGTTTAAAGCACCAATAAAGCTGCTTCTCTCATCTCTCACCAGTGTTGGACCGTGTGTATGAGCAGCTGGCAGACAAACACCTGCAGAATGAAAACACCACTCAATTGATCAAAGACAGACTCAACAAGTTCAACTCTCTAATGATGGACCTCAGGGACGCCCTCAACGACGCCGTCAACAACACGGCCCGAGCCGAGGACATCAACACCAACAACGAGAAGGGCATAGAGGATCAGCAGGTTAATGTGGACCGGTCTTATTATTATTATTGCGGTAACTTACAGCATTTATGGGAAGGGGCTTTAAGGGCATCTTTTACTTCACAATTGACCCTTGACAATAGCCTTGCTCTGATGCTATAGGTGTTCTTTGACTGTGTTGAATTGTGTGTCAAACTGGGACTTCAGTGGAAACTAAATTTCAGTGATGATTGGTCAACACTGATGAGGCCCGGCATAAAGACTAGGTCACATTAATATATACAGTCTATGGTCACAAGGCAGGTTAAGTACTTTTGCTGCTGCTGCCGAGTTGTTTTGATACACCAGCCTTGTGTGTAAGAAAGAGGCAATCCATGTTTTTGCTCAGTGGGAATGAGACTAACAACATATTTGAAAAGTGTTTAATATATTATATACTGAATCTCACCAATCATGTCCACAGAGAATCCTCTATTTTGGAGCTCGGATATCTGCGTGAAATGTGGATTCTTGTAGTCCACATTTCAATATCATTCTTGTCTGATGACGAAGTGAAATAAAAGGTTTGCATGATTTGATTTTGTTTCTCAGCGGAGAGTGAATGAGCTGGTGTCGCAGGAGAAGGAGGTGAAAGAGCAGCTGCAAATGGCTGAAGACAACATTGCTAACGTCAACAACCTCCTCTCCATGCTCCAAGACTCCAAAGAGGTCTGTGTCTACATAACCTACTTAAGTCAATTCAATGTTGTATTTGTATTGCTCTAAATCACAAAAGCAGTCGTATTGCAGGACTTTACAAATATGTTGACTCATCAAAAGTAGATCATAGAATCAAACAGTTCAAACACAGGAAATGCTATATTAACAAACACATAGAAGTCATGCCCTACACATTTCTATAAATGTCTTTAAAGGTCGCTGATCATCACCTTGCATCAGAAAAGAACCACAACAACAAAAACAGTGGTAAAATCTTGACAAACCTCAGGGAGACCCACATTGCTAAAGGGATCAGCTCCCAGGGATGGGCAGGCTTTAGACCCAGGACTCAGGCTGTAGAACAAGGACAGGTTCTGTGTAGTGCAGGACTAAGGACTAAGGAGGCTCCCAGGCGATAAGACTATTACTTGCCAACCGATGTTCAATTCTAATACTTAGAATTCTGATAATACCCTTGTTTGTCTGTTTCCAAATTGAATAAACATTGTGATTCTACAGGAGTACGAGCATCTGGCCGCCCAGTTGGATGGAGCGAGGATTCCGCTGGCAAACAAAGTGGACAGTTTTGCTTGGACAGATTCCAAAATCCCTCTGGTGGAACAGGCCGAGAGACACGCTGCGATGCTGGACGAGCTCGCCATGAATATCTCCAAGTACAAAACCCTCCTCCGTACTCTCATTTTTGTGATTAATTGGAAAATTCTGAAGTTATACTTTTTTGCAGTTTGGTTGAAGGCACAAAGAAGGATGGTTTTGTGGATGTGACTAAATCTTATAATAAGATCATCAACAGCATCAAAGAGGCGGAGGACGCAGCCAACATGGCCAACAAAGCTGCTACTGAGGCACTGGAGGTAAAGCTGTTCCGTCACAGTTACCTTTTAACCATTTTAGCCACTTCATTCTGTGTGATTTTGTGTGATTTCAATTCATATTCTGTGGCTTGCACCAAAATCCTACTCTGCAAAATACATTTCAAAAAGTAAGTCAGAAATGGAAAGTAGATTACATTTTTATTTCAGTCAATCTTGGTTGGAATGAGAGGCGTTTTTTTATTTATTATATACCCATAGATTATTCATAAAAGTCATACTAAATGTTAGTTACCGGAATGTTACTGTACACCTTGGACAAAAGTAAAACCAGAAGTCCAGTTCATTTTTATCATGTTCTGAAATACTAATTTTAAAGATATATTTTACATTCTTTGTGTTCCTTTAAACCTGATCTTGAAAAAAATCACGTTGGGATCTTGTTTTTTAGAATACTAAGAATACTAGTTTTTTTAAGTAATGACTAAACATTAAAAGGGGTAAGAGAGAATTGCTACTCTCCAATTAAGTGGTAGAAGTGGATAACTGCATTCTTCCAGAATCTAATTTGACTGGAAAAATAAAATGCTATTATTTATTGTTATAACGGTAATGGGGGTAAAGGGTAAGTCTCCACATTAAGCTGCCTGTCTTACTGCAGTTGGGGACTGTGGCGACAGCAGATGGCTCCTCCTCCCCCTCGAGAGGAGACGGCGCCCCGGTCAAACCGGTGAGGAGAAGGCTTTCTGCACTGGTTATCGGTGTTGGGAGGAACTACTTACTTTTGTAATATTACTGTAATATTTTCCTTTTTGAAGTAACTCATTACAAAGGGAAGAATTGGTCTTATATTACTGGTTATATTACTAGTAATAGTAACTAATGTAAGTGCACATTTGCTTTGTTTTCTCTACTTTGTATATATTTGTGGAAACAAAGACGTAGCTATATCTTGACTGATTTAAGTGTCAAGTTATAGTTACAACAACGTGTGTGGAACAAACAGCTTTTATGTCCTGGAACAACAGAAGTTTTTAAAAGTATGTAATTTGAACACAATAAGCCCCACTGTTGGTTAGCTCCCTCTCTTCTTTGAGTCCCGGTTGGAACAGGACCTTTCTGAGTGGAGGAGGTTGCATGTTTTCTCTGTGTCTGCTTGGGTTTCCTCTGGGTGCTCTGGTTTCCCCCAACATGTACAATATCTATTACAGAGGCCCTAGTGGCAGCGGACAATAAAGTCTAACTTACAAAAATAATACAACTACTATTTAAAATAGCAGGCTAGTTTTGCCTTGTACTTATACATTAGCACTGCTCTCGTCTCATCACTGTCCTACAGTGATGAGGCCGACTACTAATACCACTGTTGACTGTCACCTTGTTATTCAGGAGTTTGCAGGTCTGTATTTTATCTAACGACTAAAGTAATGTCTTTGTTATGTTCAAAGAATGTGAAGAACCAGGACTTGGGTCAGATCGCGGCCTCTCTGAAGAACCACAGCATGGAGCTGAAGGACGAGGTGGAGAAACTCGACGATGAACTCAACAACGGTAAATACTTCTCTTTCCATTAGAAATTCTATTCATTCTATTCTATATGTTGCCTCATTGTTTTTTTATTGTGTTTTGGTCAGAGCTAAACCCGCAGCTGGAGGACGCCAAGCAGAGACTGGAAGACGTCAAAGACAAACAGAAAAATGTGACGATGGAACTGGAGAATATTATAAACAACATGAACTTCACCACAAGTACAAAACTATTTGTATATATTTAGTGTTTGTTCAAAACCCACAAACAGTAGAGCCCCTTGTTACACAGACCTTCATTAACGAGTAAATCCTGTAAGGAAAGGAGAATTATTTATATAGCACATCTAATTCAAAGCTGCAACTCAACATGAGAGAGAGATATTAAAGCTGGGCTACCTATTTACCTTGTCAACAGAGGAGCCGTTAAATGTTTTGAACAAATCAGACCACCATCATCTTTTTAGAAAACATGATAGTTTTAGCATAATGGTAACAAAGAGCCCTCTGAGTCACTATTTGACTCTTTGGGCTGAGAGCTGATTGGTTGAGTGAGGGTGCTCTGTAAGTTTTCACTTTTGCTGCTCTAAAGATGTGAGAAAGGCAAAAATAAATAGAAGACAGTCATGAATTGTTACATTGTCATTATACCTAATTATATTTGTCGTGGCCTGATAAGTAGGTACCCCAGCTTTAACAAGTAGAGACAGATCTAAAAGTCTAAAGAAAAAGATGTCCAGACAAAATGTCTTTAGTTTTGTTTGAAATAGCTCAGCGTCAGTGCACAGTTGATGTCATGAGCCAGAGTGCTCCATTTACAAGTAGCAAAGTGGGAGAAAGCAGCTTTTCCTATTTCTATTTTTGTAAACAAAGTCTGCGTCCAAAACAAGGTCACATTTGTCACATGACTTTTCATTTAGAGCAACTGTAAGAACTGCACCTTGGGTTGTGTATGAACTGTGCTATACAAATATATAAACCTCCCATTCCTTGCCATAGTTAAACATCTGAAAACGGTAATGTTGTGTCCACCAGATGTGAGTAAGGTGATCCAGGAGGCTAAAGACACCGCAGAACAAGCTAACAACACGGCTACATCCGTCAACGATGCACTTCGCCCGATCAAAGAGCAACTGGACAAGTGGCAGAAGACGTATGGAGACGCCAACGCCACCAACACAGACATCAACAACGCCCTGTCAGAGGCCAACAAGACCGGTGAGGACACGACTTTATCTATCAGATGTATAATAAGTTTGTCATTATAGTTGTGCTTGAAAGTTTAAACAGTTGTGCACAGGACACGTCTTTCCTCATAGCATAGTCCTTAAAGGTCTATAGGAAGATTTTCTACTTCCCAGTGTATCATCAAGACTATTGGTTTTCCCAGTTGTCAATCATTCTGGTGCTATGTGCTTGTCAAATAACTAAATAAGAGATTTCCCTTCCATTTCATTTTCTTTCGCTTCATCCGTTGCTGGGTCGATGGGGACAGCAGTCTAAGCAGAGACGCCCAGACTTCCCTATCCACACACACTTCCTCCAGCTCGTCCGGGGGGACCCCAAGGCGTTCCTAGGCCAGCTGAGAGACATAGTCCCTCCAGCGTGTCCTGGTTCTTCCCCTGGGCCTCCTCCCCCCAAGACCCGAGAGTTTTGTTCAAAAAGTTGAAAGGGCGGTTCTTGCTCTCTATGTTCAACTTAGCCCGGGTAGATCTCAAATGAGGCTTTTTAACTAGTCTGTATCTTATAGAAAAACAGTGTATTGAATTGAAAGCCCTTTTGATCCATAATTGGAGATTCTGAAAGATACGCGGACTTAAAAACACCAATTATTTTAGCAACATCAGGAAATCAAAATTTTGAGTTTAATGTAAAAAAATTTCAAACATCAGTTCATGCTTCTATTGACAATAGCCGCTCATTCACTTCTTCGTCTTCTGTGTGTGACAGTGTTAAATGTGTACTAACGTAGCATTATTAAAGCAGAGTTTGAGGTTTATTTAAGTAAAATTGATAAAAGTTAGAATCCCTACCATTAAAATATATCAATATCAACACTTAACAAAACAGTTGTTAGCATAGCATTAGCATTAGTTCACCTTATCTATTAGCCACTTCAGTGTTTTTCTAACTCAATATGTTTGGGTTTGTATTTGAAAGATCATGAATGATAACTTTTTCCACTCATCGTTGGTTTGTTTAATAAACATGGGAGATCTCAAATGTACAGTTTATGCAAAGCAGCCCTGGAAATTACAGGAGCTGGAGGAGCAGCTTTACCATCAGAGTGAATAAACAACCTCACTCATAACTACCACGAAAGACTCTGAGCTGTCATTGATGCTAAAGGTGAAATACTAATGAGTAAACTGGGGGATGGAGACTTTTGACGCTGGTTAGAAGAGTTTCTGTTGTCTTTGTAATATGAAAACCGAAATTAATATCTCATAATCTCTGAATTATGGCTCAAAAGAATGAAAGTCTCTGCTGGTGTGCTGAATGTCCTTTTGTTTTTTTTTGTCTGAAGTAAACATGTTGGGAGACACGGTTCCTCTGCTCCTCAAGAAACTGGACAAGCTGCAGAACCACTCTGCTCACATGCCAAACATCTCCGAGAGCATCAACCGCATCAGAGAGCTCATTCAGCAGGCCCGCAACGCCGCCAGCAAGGTACGGAGCCGCAGAGAGTCACTGCAGGGCTCACTTTTTAACATTGAGTACTTTCACATTGACATAACACAGCATGTATTTGAGTCCAACTAGTCTGACCACTCTTTAATTTACTTATTTACTTCTGTTATTATACTTGCAATGTGAGACTAATATATGGCAGGCACTAGTGATGCGCGGGTCATCTTTTTTTTACAACCCGACCCGCCCGCCCCAAAATAAAACTCAATCCGACCCGCCCGACCCAGACAAGTGCGCATTGATTTCTCAACCCGGCCCAACCCGAACCCGCGGACATTAATACTACCATTTTGCTTATCAAATACAAAGGACAACTCTTTTTCAGATAAAACAACCACATAAAATGTTTAATTGACTGAATAAATAAAGGTCAATTTAAAGAACGGAACGGAAAAGGCAAGCCTATATTATTAACATTTCCATAACATTTCCATAACATTTGCATAACATTTCCATGGGTTCTGAATCTGAACAATTAACTATTAATGTCAGGCTTATTATTGACATTTTATTTAGCTTATTTCGCTGCACTATGAAGGAAGAGAATAGAGTCGACCCGCAGAGCTGAAAGTTCGCTCACTGGAAGCGCTTGTGGCCGGGATGCACAAAACGGCTTTTGCCACAAGTGACTGATCTTTCCAAAAAGAGAGAACATCCTTAAGGCAATCTTCGAGGGAGAAATGATTGTTAATATAACGCTGAACGTCATCATCGGCCTCATACAGCTCTGCTGGTGTGTCTTCCCACTCAGCAAAAAGCCGACGCCTTTTCTCTGGCATTCCTACAATAATAATAAATACATAAATATAATAATCATAATGAAGATGCTTTCTAAAATTTTAAAAAGCTGTAGTGTAAACTATTCATTTTACCTTCAAACGGCTTCTCCTCTGCCAAACTTCTCTCGCTTGCCTCCATCTCCTCCGCTATCACTAAATAATAAATATATACACTCAATCAGAAATATTTGCTATCTATTTTGAGATGTTACACATATCATATAGGCTAAGCATGCGTAATGTGTAGCCTGCGCGTACATACGCACCTGCTTCAGAAGGCCTCTGTTGTGATGACAACACAGTCATCAGTCTACGAGCCTCTGTGTGGACTACGCATCTGTCATCGGGCTGGAGCATTTTGAGGCTTTTAAAGCGGGGAGTCAGGAAGGTGGCGATCTTGTGGGTGTTGGTCACGATTCATTTTTCGTTTAACAACATCCCTGCGCGGTTGCAAATGTAATCAAGGTATTCGGGACTCTCACTCCGTGGCTCACAGTGCGCTTTGAGCTTAGTGTACCAAAGAAGCACGGTGTTGATGGTGGGATAGCGATCGCCTTCCATTTCATCTGATGCATCTTTGAAAATGGACAAAAAGTTGCCGACTGTGTTCAGCACTTCTACTTGGATGCCATCCAAACGGTGTCCTTGCCCCTTGACCTCAAGCAGCTCGAGGATCTGCCTGTACTGTTTAACCACAGAGTTTATCATCGCAACTTTAGTGTTCCACCTTGTTTCGCTTTCCTGTGTGACCGCGTAAGGCAGGCTGAGTGTTCCACCAGACTTTTTGAGGTAAGTAACCAACGCTTTGCACTTGTGTATTTGATTCGTGACAAGACTCATAAATGCTGGCGCATCTTTTTCCTCAAATGTATGTTTCAGGATGTTGTTAAGGATATGTGCGGCGCATGGCATTCAGGAGTAATTTTTCAGAGCAGCTTTTATATTGGGCCCCTGATCTGTGACAAAAACAACCCTGGCAAGGTGCTGGGGAGACACGCCGATGTCTATTAACTCCTTGCTTATCTGGTCGTGTATGTTTGCAGCAGTTTTCTTCTCGTTGGCATCAAACTCCAAAGTACAGATTACGCGACACAGTAGTATCCACTCCTCAGTGATCAAGTGACATGTCAGCGCTGTGTATGATCGCATATTAAATCTGTCCACATATCTGTAGTGATGCCAATCCCATGATCAAGCGCATTGTTAATTGCTTCACATAAAGCGGCCTTTTCGAGTTTGGCCTTATCCTTTGCCCTGTCACAAACTGTCTGTCTGTGAGGAATCACGGAGTCTGCATCCACAGAGCCATATTTGGCTCCAATATTGATGAGTCCCTGTGCCACACTGGTGAAGCCTTTGCCTGAGACGATGTCGAATGGGCGCAAGTCAGCGCAACAGAAATCCACAAAATGATCTACAAGTTTGGATTTTGCAGAGAAGGGCACTTTATTCTGAATAAAGGATGTAATCCGAGGTTGCTGTACGTGCGCAGTTGTCTCACCGTCACAGCGATGACGAATCAGATTTGATGTGCCAGTCTTGTGGCTGTCGTACCTGTACAATGCCCTACAAGTTAAGCAAATTGCATGGTCTGCAGTAGAACCATCTGGTAGAACGATTTGTCCAAATTTCTCCCAAGCTTTACTCTTCTTGCCTTCCTTTTTCACAACTTTAGTCTCCCCTGTTTTTAATTTCTCTCTTATCAAATCCGCCATGGTGCAAGCTATCAATCTGGGTTAAATTGCCGCTCTAAGCTAGGCCTGTACGGATGCCCTTCGTCCAAATAACGAAACATAAGCGCAATTTCAAAACTATAGCTACTGCCAGCTAGCTAGTCTATTATATATATATATATATATAATAATGTATGTGTGTTGTGTGTGTTGTAGCGTGCCACAGTAGTAGTGTTCTTCTGTTCTCTCAAATTTAGTGTTATATGCCATGGACTGTTAAGTGCTTACCATGACAGAGCTCACCATCTCAATTGATAAGTACCCTATGCTTTCTATGTGCAATGCGGTGTAAAATGAAATGATAGACGTTGAGCTCCACCTCGTGGTGAGGAGTTGTGCATGGCAAAAAATGCATGATGGTGTGGCTACTCATTATTTCGACTTCAAAAATACATATCTTGGCCCGACCCGCCCGCACCCAACTTTAGCCGTATATATGGAATGTTGGACCCGCCCGAAACCGCAGCGCCCGCGGGTTGACCGCGGGTTTAGGGTCGACCCGCGCATCACTAGCAGGCACATTACATACATACTTACATACATACATACTGTACATACTGTACATACATACATACTTAGATATGAGTGACATGACTTCACTTTCAAAACTCCACCAATCCTTCAAATATTATCAGATTTCCAAGTGTTATACATTTTTGGGAGTAGATTTTTTTCAGGAGACATTAGGCCTGTCTCATAGATATACATTGTCGATTGCTTTATGTCACTTTGAAACTACAGGGCAGGGCCTGGTTAGTCCTAGGATGGGAGACCTCAGGAACAGCAGGCTGTAAAGTGCCAAGCTGTCATTGTGTCTTTCGGCAAGACACTTCACCCACATTGTCTGGTGTGTGTGTGAAATGTGAATGGTTGGTGGATGAAATGTGAGTGTCCAAAATGCACTATATAAAACCAATTAATTATTATGATTTGCACCCCACATCACTTTTTATGTACTGTTTTTGTAAATTGATGTGTCTCCTGTGTTTCCTTTTTTGAACTGTTTTAATGGATATTTTCTGTGTTTTAAATGTATCCTCTGAAGCTCTTTTAATTTATCAATTGTGCTATAAAAATAAATGTTTGATATTTGTGTTTTCCGGTAGGTGGGCGTCCCGGTGAAGTTCAACGGCACTTCTGGAGTCCAGGTGCGAAACCCATCCAACCTGGCCGACCTGGCGGCCTACACCAACCTCCAGTTCTACATCACTCTGCCAGAGACAACGGCACGCAAGAGACGCCAGGACGAGCTGAGCAAGCAGTTTGTCTTCTACCTCGGCAACAAGGACGTGAGTACTTTCTAAATTACTGCTGTATTTGGTCAGAATTAGGGTGGTCAGATGGGCCAATGAACATACTGGTCGCTTCTGTCTGTGTGCCCCAGAGCAGCTGTGGCTACTGTAGTTTTTCACAACAGTATATGTATGGAATGAATGAATAACAACATGTAAAGCGTCTTAAAGTGTCAAAAAAAAAACACTAGAAAAAAATAATGCATTTTAATTAAATCCGAGTATTAGACAATGTTGAATAACTAAAATAATCAATAACAATAATATTCCCTAATTTAATACGTGTATCCCAGTCGTCAAAGGAGTTCCTGGGCATGGCTCTGGAGGGACGGAGGCTGCGCTGGTTCTTTAACACCGGAGGAGAGACCGCAGAGGTCCTGATGGCTGAAGACGTGAAAGCCGATGGAAACTTCAACAGAGTGGTGCTGGAGAGGTACGACACAACAACACCACAGGAAATGAGCAGCTTCACAGAACATTATCTGAGATTTGAACCATGTTCCAAAGCTGCCAGTTTTGTTCAAATGCTCCTGCTTTCAAAACCGTTCTGCTGTGACAAATCCTTTCACTGGGATGTCATGAACTGAAGACTGAACCTTTAAAACAGAAGTAATGTCTTTAATTTCTGCATTCCTGGACACTCTCTCTGGTCTCTCCCTCTGGTCTCTCTCTCTGGACACTCTTCCTGGTCTCTCCCTCTGGTCTCTCTCTCTGGACACTCTTCCTGGTCTCTCTCTCTGGACACTCTTTCTGGTCTCTCTCTCTGGACACTCTCTCTCTTTCTGTTCTATTTTTAATGAACTGTGTTTTTGTGTAGGATCCTGCAGTACGGTCTGATGTCCATGTCCTCTGAGGCCGACGGGGACCAGATAGCGACCAAAGCCTACGTGGAGGCTGGAGGAGACCAGGGCCTGCTCAGCCTGCTCACTGACGACACAGTGTTCTACGTGGGAGGCTACCCCAGCTCCTTCAAGGTATTATTATTATTGCGATTAATACAAGCACACAGGTATTGGCAACTTATTACCTGTGTGCCTTCAAAAAGACATCTCTCTCTCTAGTCTCTCTCTCTCTCTGGTCTATCATTCTAGTCTCTCTCTCTCTTTTCTCTTTCTGGTCTCTCTCTCTGGTGTCTCTCTCTCTAGTCTTTCTTGTCTCTCAGGACAAGAAAGAGCTCTCTCGCTCTCTTGTCTGCAGGAGGCCAGTCCCTGCGCTCCTCAGGCTTCCTGTTCATATGGCACTAACATGTTAAAATAAAGGGGCTGGTCTTGAGGCCGTCAAGTTTACAGAAATAGGGAAACATTTTCTTCAGCTGTTCAGACCATTTTAGCACAATTGGGTAAAAATATCTTGAAACGGCAAAAGTTTTGAGATGACACCGGTAAAACCCTTTAAACATGTTGTGTGTTTTTATTTCCCCGCAGCCTCCTCCAGAACTGGCTCTGCCAAACTTCAAAGGCTGCATTGAGCTGGACACTCTGAACGAGGAGGTGCTGAGTCTGTACAACTTTGAGAAAATCATCAAGCTGAACACGACTGAGGACAAACCGTGCGGCCGGTCAGTGTCCACTCACACAACAGTCCATTCATATGTCACTTTAACCATGGTTACCAGGACTAGCTCTTTGGTCTCTCTCTAGTCCCTCTCTCTGGTCTCTCTCCGGTCTCTCTCTCTCTGGTCTCTCTCTCTGGCCACTCTCTGCCCCCCTCTGGACCATTTGTCTTGTTCATCCATATTTACATAATATTATCAACTCAATAAACTTTCCCTTTCTAAAACATGAAATTCCAAAGTCAGCATTCTCTCATTTTTAAGGCCAAAATGTGGTTTAATGCATAATATTGTTGTTGACATTGTTGTTGTTTGATGTTCAGGCTGAAGCCGCTGCTGACTCAAGCCTGGGTGAACGACGCAGCGTACTTTGATGGCTCCGGCTTCGCTAAAGTTGCCTTCTCCGACGAGGGCGGGTCCCGGGTTCAACGCTTTGAGCAGGAAATCAAGCTGGTCTCTCACCACGGCATCATCCTCATGCTGCAAGACCAGGTACGTGTCATGGAGGTCAGAAAGCAGCAAAAACATTCATAATAACATACATAAACATAAACATATTTTTTTACATTTTTCAAACTTCTAAGACAAAACTCTCTCTGATCTCTCTCTCTCTTTCTTTCTCTCTCTTTCTGGTCTCTCTCTCTCTCTCTCTGGTTTCTCTCTATCTCTTTCTGCTGAGTAAGTAAGTAATGTTTATTTATGTAGTGCATTTTACAGACCAAGGTCACCCAAAGCACTTTACAATTGTTCAGAGTGCAACAACGTTGGTCTCGCTCTGATCTCTCTCTCTTGTCTCTCTCTCTGGTCTCTCTCTCTTGTCTCTCTCTCTGATCTCTCTCTCTTGTCTCTCTCTCTGGTCTCTCTTTCTGGTCTCTCTCTCAATGAGCAACAATCCCAGTAGATGGGAGTGTTGCTCATTCTAGTTTGATTTCATTCCAAAGTTAAAGGGACAATTATGTAATATTTGTGTACCCAGATTACAAGTACACAACACATTTGACATTTTTCTGAGCAAAATTTTAAACTGGAGATATTAATATCTAAAAATACAAAGAATATGATGCACATAATATGAAATGGTTTTGAAGCAGATTCTCCAATCAGAGAGAAGAATGAGGCTCTCACTTGGGTTGCCAGTCCAGTGAAATTCATCTGGATTTGGTTCAATTTTTTCTTTTTTTTTCTTTTCACAAACCAAAAAATAACACCACACATTTGTTTGAATGAAAGATCGTCCAAAAAAAGTACTCATACCTAATACACATAGTTTTTACCATCCTTTGCTAAACCCCAGCAGGTGGATTGCATCTGTTCTCAGGTCTTAGGAGCTACATTTGCCACAGGTGTAGATTCTGGTGACAAAAGTGTGATTGTAATTGTAATAACGACTTTATCAGACCACTTAGACTGCATATCACATACTGCAGCTTTAATAATCTCAAAATAATCATTAGGGGCAACATAAACAGAAATAAGGCCCTGAATTTTGACATTTCTAGGAACATGTATAAAGTATAGATGTGTTGTTCTAAAATTCATGTTTTGTCGATGTTCAGGACAAGTTCCTGTGTCTGGCTGTCCAACGCGGCCGCCTCGTGGTCTTGTACGACTTTGATGGTAAAATGATGGAATTGACGCCGAAAGAACCCAACTCCCCGTTCATGAAGATCAGCGACGGAGATGCCAATGCTGTACGTCAAGATCAGAGCATTCCAGCTTAAATCCTCCGCCTTAAATCTTCCCCTGTCTGATGCTGTTATGTGATGTTACAGCTGGAGGTCATCATCGTCCGCTCATCCACTCCGAACCGTTTGGTGGTGAGGAACAGCAGGATCACTCTCTACTCCGAGCTCCTGGACGTGCCACTCTTCAGCTCCTCCTACTTTCTGGGAGGCGTCCCTGAGGACAAGATGCCAGCGGCGTAAGAGACACTTCACACAGACATTGAGGAATAAAACATAGTGTGGCATCTGTGGAAAGTTCCAAAAGAGTCACAAAAATGTCATGTTTATTTTAGGGCTGTCAAAATTATCGCGTTAACGCACGTTAATTAATTTTTTTCATTAATTGTGTTAAAAAAATTAACGCAAGCCCATGCATCCCTAAATAACACTCGGAATGCCACGGACACGTGCGTGTGGTGGTGACAGAGCAGGTCTCTGGGAATCTACGTTTTAAAAGAATACACGCGTGACCGTGTCCGTGGGACAAATGCTGTTGTTTCCTGTATGAACTCTACGAGCTGAGCTGCGGGCGCTCTGGACAGCGCTCTGGACAGCGCTTCCTCCAGCGGCTGTGATTACGGTGAACGGCGCCGCGTAACGTCATCATATCCAAGTCCACGCACAGATGTGCGTGTCTTTGCGTAACCCGTGCACACACAAAAATACAGCGCAGAAACTGGACAACGGCGCCTCAGTCTCCTCTCTCGCCTCAGTCTCTTCTCCCGAAGCTCACTCACTAAATTAAAGCTGGGGTACCTAATTTTCCCTTCCACTACCAGTGGAATAATGACATGTAAAGCGTCTTTGCGTGTCCGATAAAACCGATGCATTATTATTATTATTAATATTAATAATGTGTGTTCTGATTCCCACTGTTCTGTAAACTGTGATGCAACACTGAAATTGAATGACTGTAGAACAAAAAAAGGATCTCTTTATTTTAATTCTAACCATTTAGAAATAAAAGGGTGAATATAACCAGATTGTAAAACCTAAACAAACACGCATTTTTTATTGCAATCAACCTTGTTTTCTTCCGTTTTTTCAACAAACCTGAGGAGATTTTTGCTTATACTATAAGCCTGACCCTCGCCAGACCCATGTAGTTCCGCAATGCTCCACCAGAGGCAGCGAACTACAAGGGTCTGGCAAGAGTCAGGCTAATAATATTTAATAATAATAATAATAATCGCCTGACTCTCAGCCTAAATCTCTACATTTCTTACAATCGTGCCACGGTGCCTTCTGCTGACTACATTTACTGCATAATTGTTTCATTGGTTTCATGGTGAACTATTGTCTCACGTCCAGAGTGACATTTCTGTAATCTGTGTTTTTTTTATTTGTGTTCAGGCTGAAGTCAGCTTTCCCGAAGCAGGGCTCGGTGAAAGGATGCTTCCGGAACGTCAAAGCTCTGAATTCTCATATCGACCTGAAGAGAATGGTCAGCACCGGAGTGAGCTTCGGCTGCGACAACGATCTGCTGGTACCTGGACCTTACACACACACACGTCAAAAACTTTAATAATTATTCAGCATACAAGACATAATTTTGGGCTTTTCTTGACGGGTTCTTGATGGTTTTTTCTGTAATATTATATTGAGGTGTAAGTTTATAAAGTCTAATGCATCTCTTCCTGTAGGTGGGGCGTGAGGCTCACTTCTCTGGACAGAGTTACCTGGACCTGGACTTGACCAACGTCCCGAGTCTCAGAAACAACTTCTACAGCAGCCTAAGCTTCAGGACGGACCAGAAAGAGGGTCTGATGTTCTACCACCAAGACTCTGTAAGGACACAATGTTTATTATTATCAAACCATAGACTGTTTATTAGGGCAGTGCTAACCATACACTGTATATATTAACGGACGTAGTCACGCCTATCTCCGCCGTTCTAACTAATGGGCCAAAAATTGGCCCCCACTGGTGCTAATCTGTACTAGCTAAAGCCTAAAAGAGAAATTCTGAGATCCTCTCAGACCTCTGAAGCTAAGCAGTGCAGGGGCTAGTTAGTACCATGATGGGAGACCTCTAGGAACCCCAAGTACCACAGTGGGGTGGCTGTAAAGTGCCAAACTGTTGTTCACCCACATTGTGCATTGAATTAGTCTGGCGTGTGTGATCAGAGGGGCCAATGGCATATACAGGCCCTCGGTGTGCCCCAGGGCAGCAGTGGCTACTGAAGTAGTTTATCACCACTGTGTATGGAGTGAATCAATAATGACAGCACTAACCAACTTTATCCTGGTGTTATATTCAATTCAGAAATTGCATGTAAAAGGGTACATCTATTTTAGGATTTTGCTTCGTCTTATGTTTTAAAACAAGATGCAAAAATTTGACAAATACAATTGGTTGTAGTATCCACTTTATTCTAAATGGACTGCTTTTTCACACTTCAATCTGACCACCCACCAGCCCTAATATAATATACACTTGTTTCAATTTTATTTTATTATTTTAAACTGTATAATATCTTTGAAAAACTTGTGACCTAACATCTAAATGGGTTGAAGAGCTGAAGATAAAAACTACTAAAAATAAACTGTTTTGTTTGGTCACTTTTTTGGAGAAGGCCTCGACACAGAAGCACTGTATCCAGAGCTCATGTGGTTTATATGACACTTGCATTCATGCATTCAAGCCTAGTGTATACTTGCGCGGCGTGGCTTACGTTAGCGGTTGCGGTGGACCTACGTAAGCACAATTGATGTTATACTGGCGCGTTCCCCTTACGGAGTTTTGAGGAGAATGTTGTAATCCCACAACAAACCACATGACGGCGATCTCACAAGAGCGGTCCCATTTACGTTGCTACTTTGTCCTCTTCAGAACAACAATAGCAAACAAAGCTGTTTGAGCTCATTACACGTGTTTCTACTGTAGGTTTATGTGATAGTTTTATGGATTCATTATTTTATAAGTCATTTCAACTGGGATGCTGTGAATAAAGACACAGTTCTTGTTGGAAACATAGTTATTATTAAATAGTTTTCAGCACAAACAGAAAAACAATAATAGTGGTAAATATCTGAGACAAACATGAACGATTTACGAGTGCAGGAGGAAAGCAACAAACGCTGCTACGATTCAAACAAGACAGGAACAGTGCAAAACAAACGACTGCACAGTTTATAAGTTATATATATGTTAGATAGTCCACAGTCTCCTGTTTATCAGGCTCTGAGCCCAAACTGCTTTTCCTTCGAAGCACAAAGCTCTCTGCTCCATAGTGCCTCCTCCATGTCCCTGCTGCAGCCGCTCCTTCCAATACACACACACGGACCAATCACAGCGGAGATTCCTAGCGGCGACCCTTACGTAGTTAGAAAATTTTGATGCTGCGCAGCAGGCGACGTAAGTGTCTTGCGGTGACCAACGCGTCGCGCAAGTGACGTCACGTCACCTCCGTAAGCTCCGCGCCGCGCGAGTATAAACTAGGCTTCATTCATTCAGCTTGATTGGATTAATCTGGACAAAGAGAGAGATCTGATTTTGACTCTGTAAATGTACTGATTTTTCTGCAGGAGGGTGTGTGTCAAATCTTCTTGAACGAGGGCCATGTTGTGGTGCGAGCGGGAAACAGCCAAGTGAAGACTCAGAAGACGTACAACGACGACAACACACACTACATTGCGATGTACAACAACATCAACGGGTGCGATTATTTATACTATTGGTCTGTTAGAAAAGGTTTTATTGGTGTGTTTTCTTAAACACTTTGTATCACGGTGTCGCAAGGTGAAATTAAAAAAGGAAAACAAAATGCAGAATTGAAAATCAGAATCAGAATCAGAATCATTTTTATTGCCACGTAAGTAACAGGAGGTCACAGACTTGGAAATTGCTTTGGCTCAGTGCAACAGTCAAAAAGAGATAATAAAAATAAGAATAAAAAACACTTCTAAAGAATAAATTTAAATTTAAAATAGAGTTACAGTTACTATTTACAATATACAAGTGCACATGGTGCACACAATGTAAGGTGACAGCAGTACAGTGAAGTAAAGTGACGTATGATGGGCAGTAAAGTGACTTTATAAAGGGCGGGGGGACAGGTTAAGAAGTGTTCAAGAGTCCAACAGCAGAGGGGAAGAAACTGTTCTTGTGGCGGGAGGTTCTAGTCCTGATGGACCGCAGCCTCCTGCCTGAGGGGAGTGGTTGGAATAGTCCATGTGCAGGGTGAGAGGGGTCGGCTGTGATACGACCAGCCCGGCCTCGAGCTCGGGCGACGTACAGGTCCTGCAGCGATGGAAGGCTGCGGCCGATCACTTCCTCTGCAGAGCGCACAATGCGCTGTAGTCTCTGTATGTACCTGACTGTGGCTCCAGCGAACCACACGGTGACGGAGGAGGTGAGGATGGACTCGATGATGGCCGTGTAGAACTGCACCAACATCTGTGCAGGCAGCTTGGCTTTCCTGAGCTGCCGCAGGAAGTACATCCTCTGCTGGGCCTTCTTGATGAGGGAGCTGATGGTCGGCTCCCACTTGAGGTCCTGGGTGATGGTGGTGCCCAGGAAACGGAAGGACTCCACAGAGGTGATGGGGGAGTCCATCACGGAGGGTGGGGGTGGGGGGACAGTGCTCTTCCTGAAGTCCACAATCATCTCCACTGTCTTCTGGGCGTTCAGCTCCAGGTTGTTACCACTGCACCAGGACACCAGCCGGTCCACCTCCCTCCTGTAGGCGGACTCATCGTTGTTAGAGATGAGTCCAATGAGGGTGGTATCGTCCGCGAACTTGATCAGCTTCACGGAGTCGTGGCTGGAGGTGCAGTGGTTGGTGTACAGGGAGAAGAGCAGGGGAGAAAGAACACAGCCCTGTGGGGCTCCTGTATTTATAATCCGAGAGTCCGAGACATTCTTCCCCAGACGCACTCGCTGCTTCCTGTCCGTCAGGAAGTCAGTGATCCACCTGCAGGTGGAAACGGGCACGTTGAGCTGGGAGAGCTTGTCCTGGAGCAGGGATGGCAGGATTGTGTTGAAGGCAGAGCTGAAGTCCACGAACAGGACCCTGGCGTAGGTCCCCGGGGAGTCCAGGTGCTGTAGGATGTGGTGGAGGGCCAGGTTAATGGCGTCGTCTACAGATCTGTTGGCTCTGTAGGGGAACTGCAGGGGGTCCAGGAGGGGGGAGGTGAGGGACTTGAGATGGGAGAGAACCAGGCGTTCAAATGACTTCATGACGACAGACGTAAGTGCTACAGGTCTGTAGTCATTGAGTCCTGTGATCCTGGGCTTCTTCAGGACGGGGACAATGATGGAGGATTTGAAGCAGGCCGGGACATGGCAGGACTGCAGAGAGGTGTTGAAAATGTCCGTGAACACAGGAGTAAGCTCACTGGCGCAGTGTCTCAGAGTGGCCGGAGACACGTGGTCCGGGCCAGGAGCTTTGCGGGGGTGCAGCCTCAAGAAGAGTTGTTTAATCTCTTTAGCGGCTATTGTTAGGCTGGGGGCAGGGCTGATGGGTGGGTCGTTAGAGTAGTGGGGGGTGGGGGAGGGAGAGGTGTCAGGGGCAGCATCAAAGCGACTGAAAAATAAGTTCAGTTCGTCAGCTAGCTTGTGGTCGTCAGCACAGGGGGGGGCTTTATAAAAGTGTAATTTATCAAATAAATCCAAGGTAACAACAAAACACAAAATACCAGAACTGAAAACAAGCCAAGAACAAATGTGGCTGAGACAATGGATGGCCAACAAAAACAGGGTATAAATACCATGAATCTATAACAATACCTGGATAGGGTTTTACTAGCTTATAGCAGTCCCACTAATGGGCACAGGGGGCGCCCTGGTACTGCAGACTAAATTCACGTGGGCTACCCGGAAAAATGTCCCATAGAACTCTATGTGAACAAAAACAACTTGACCTCAGCTGACAGAGAACCTACAGCTTTCATAAAGGTCAGATTTTGAAAGGATTTAGTGTTCCTTGTCATCCTGAACTTTTTCTATAAATCCACACTTTACTGCCACAAACTGTGCTCGATCGTCTCCTGCTCTAGCTCGGCTCTGTTCAGCAGCGTCTGATTGGTCATAACATAGTCGTGCTCCTCTGTGCATGTTTGTTCACGTTCACTTTCGGCCCCCATGGCTGTCCCATGTGCTACTTAGTTTAAGCTATTGATTTTATTAGGCCGCCATCTTGGATCACCAGGGCTTGATGAATATATGAGAAAAATATGCACAGGGTAGAATAATAAACAACAGGGTACAGTAAGCATAACTCAAACTACAACAGAACAAATATATAGCTAAATAAAAACCAGGTAAAAAAGAACCCACATTAAAAGTCCTCACCATGACACAGCCTCTATAGTTCATCAGACATGTATAAGGACAGATGACTTATATTGTGAAATTGTTTGACTGGATTCAAGCCGTTTAAAGTTCCAATTAGGTGTAATATGTCCACAAAATGATTCAAAATTGACAGAGCTGAAGTGCGTGTTTGTATAGTCAAAGTCAAGGACAGGCTCAGAGTTTTACATTGAGCCATAACATGGCTGTATTGGATAACACTGAATGTTTATGATTGTGTGTGTCCAGGATGCGTGTGTACATGGACGACGTGTTGGAGAAATCTAAGGACGGCATCTCCATCAGCAGAGCCCCAGCAGGAGGCGCTGCAGCCCTGGGCGTCACATACCTGGGAGGGACCCCTGACATGGGCCTGGCCAACCTCACCGGCTGCATCAGCAACGTGTTTGTGAGGAGGTGAAGAGACACAGAGACACTGGAGCCAATCGTGCTACTCTCTAGAATCTATTGTGTATTTGTTGTGATCCATGACCAGTCCAGTGTTCACATCCTGTTTCAGGCTTCAGGAGGACACGAGATTTTGCTGCAAATGTTCTTGTTCTTTTTGTGCTTCTTGGTGACAAAAGCTGGTGTTTTCATTGTCTGTTGGTCTCAGTCTGGTCTAAGGGTCGTCTGTGTGGTCATCACTCCCACCCAGATAGACTGGGATTTTTTAGTCCATTTCGGCTTTTCTCTCCGCTCTTTCTATGTGGATATAACTACAGAAAAATCGCAAGCGAGTGACGCACATTTCCTTGCGATTGTTGTTGTTGGATCGGCTCGACATCAGACGCAAATCAGAACCTGGTCTACGTCTGTGTCCACACACACTTCCTCCCAGCTGTAAAGAAGTGGCTGTGGCTAACATTAACAAAATGTCATATCTTATTCATTAGTTTGCCACAATAGTTCAGCCCTCACCTTTATCGTTGTGTTTGATTGGTTGTTGTGCTTGAAACTCTTGACTCTTTCCCTGCACAGAGACGCCAGTCATCAGATGGTGCTGGATCTGCTCAAGGCCAAAGAAAACATCAATGTTCCCATGAAGTGTCCTGCAGCCAAGAAACCTCAGGAGATCAGAGCGACGCCTCCCAAGCCCAGCAAGCCCAAGGTGAGACTCAGATCCACTCACGGATCAGATCCATCCCACCTACGGTGCAGCGGGGCCAATTTATAATGCTCTGCCGTTATAGCAGCCTGGAGCCTTTCTGTCACCATTGTGCCACGCACCGAGCTGTGCTCATTCCGTCCGTCCGTCCGTTTTCTTCCGCTTCATCCGTTGCCGGGTCGCGGGGGCAGCAGTCTAAGCAGAGACGCCCAGACTTCCCTATCCACACACACTTCCTCCAGGAAGTGTGTGTGGATAGGGAAAAAAATACACGGGCTGAGCACAGCTCGTCAGCCCTAAATACATGCCACGTGTATTTTTGCAGCGCAATGACTTGCAGTGTTGTGCGTGAACGAGTTCAAAAGAACGCGTTCATTGAACACGCTCATTTTTTTGTGAACGTTGAACTGAACGCAACACATTTTTTTAAAAAGAACTTGAACGTGAATTAGTTCATTTTATGTGTCATGAACGGCAGACATCACTATGAACGTTGGAATCTGTTTTCTCTTCTGAAACGCAACGAGAGAAAGTTACTCCCTCCTGTATTCTCACACTTTTTCCGCCGAAATCTAAAAATTCCTACGGTTTCCACCGTCTGTGAACGCACCCCGACTCTGTTTTGCTGTGCGGCGCTGTGAGCTGGTGCTTTTCACATGGGCCCAAGTCGTAATGAAAACACAGGGTGAGTTAGCGACAAAGTTTACACGGTTTGCATTTGACATAAAGTATAGACACACGCACTGCAGCGCATTACTGTCTGTAGTTTATGAGCAGAGATGGAGCAACTCCGTTTTGCTCCCATTGAAAACCATGTAAATCTTCTCTGTTTTGTAGTCAAAAGACTCTCCTCCTGTGGGTGTACAGGAGATATATATATTAGCTCGTAGTGTGAAAAAAATATGTATTTAAGTATCTCACGAAAAAAGTAAAATGAACTGAACTTTGAACTAGTTCAGAATTAAAAATGTGAACTTTGAACGTGAACTGTTCACTTTGAGCATGTATGAACTGAACTTGAACTAGTTCAGAAAAGCTGTGAACTGGCACAACACTGATGACTTGACTCTGTGGTCATATGTTGTGTTTTGATCCAGGGTAAGAACAGGAAGCCGTCTGGGTCTCGCAGCAGGAACACCAGGGACTCGTGTCAGTCGGAGCAGGCGCAGGTGGAGCCCGGAGCCTCGCACTTCAGCGGATCAACTCACAGCTTTCACAAATACGACTCACTGACCCTCAACTCACTGTGAGTCAATGCTTATGGTTCTTTGGTCAAAGTACAGACCTACATCCATGTGAAAAACTGTTGAAAGACCTGAAAACGGCTGTTGATGATTGCTCTCAAACATCTGTCCATGATTAAATCCATTAAACAACAATTACTGTCCTTGTTTGTCTGGGCAGGCCTCACATCTCGTTGGGCCTGAGAATAAACTCATCTGACGGCCTGCTCCTCCACGCAGCCGGGGGGCGCCGCAGTAAAACGTTGTTGTCTCTGAGTGTTTCTGACGGACACCTGCAGCTGCTGCTGGACGGAGGGAAGAAGAAAATCAGTCTGCGCAGCCGCAACAAGTACAACGACAACCAGTGGCACACGGTAACCATGACACAATATGATGCTTTGGTCTCTCTCTCTCTGTCTCTCCATCCATCCATCCATTTTCTACCCTTTAATCCATTTCTGGGTCAGGGGGGTGGCAGTCAGAGATGCCACCCAAGTCTCACAGCACCAGCCCCTCACTGACCCTCTGCAGGTGGTGAGTCCACAGGAGGACGGCTGCTCTCTGAGTGTGAGCATAGCCTTGATCTTTCAGTGGGGGCTTTGGGCAAAGTGGGGTTAAGTGTCTTGCCCAAGGACACAACGACAGCAGTCATCAGTGAGAGTTGGTGGAGAAGGTGCAGAGGTGGGAATTGAACCCACGACCTTCTGGCCTTAAGGCCAATGCTCTACCAACTGAGCTACTGTCGCCCTCTCTCTGTCTGTCTTAATCTCTCTTATCAAGAGACCAGTGTATTATGCTCAAATACATTTTAGTTTGAATGTTGTGACAGGTGTTCATCAAGCGTGAAGGAGACAAGCTGAGTCTGGTGGTGGACGGCATCAGTGCTCAGTCCAAGAGGATCCCAGGAGGAGACAAGACCAAACTGTCCGGACCTCTGTACGTGGGAGGACTGCCCCCCACCCTCAGTGTAAGTCTGTCTGCACTCTAGCTGTCTGTGTCTATGTTTCTCTCTGTGTGTCTGTGTGTGTGTGCTACTCTCTCTCTCTCTGTCTCCCTGTCTGTCTGCTCTGTCTATTTTCTATATATATCACATATATATTCTATGTGTTTCTGCTCTCTCTTTTTATCTCTCTGTCTGGCTGCTTCTCTCTCTCCCTCTCTTTGTCTATCTAGTTCTCTCTCCATCTGTATCTGTCTTATTCTAACTCTGTGTTCTGTCCTGTGTCCAGGCTCCCGGCTCCAGTGGGTTTGTGGGCTGTGTGAGAGAGCTGAAGCTGAACGATTCCCCGGCAGGACGTCCCACTCTGACCCAGGGGACCGTGCCCTGTTTCCAGCAGCCGCTTCAGTCCGGAGCATACTTCTCTGGAGAGGGAGGTCACATGACCCTAGGTACCTGTCATGTGACACACACCACAGCCTGCTATTTACCACTACTGCCATATTCTCACACACCTGTTGTGTTCCAGCGGAGTCTCTGCAGCTCGGAGCAGACTTCCACATCGAGCTGGAGGTGCGGTCTGTCTCCTACTCCGGACTCCTGTTGCATTCTGGGACATCGAGCAGCTACTACCTGAGCGTGGTGCTGAACCAAGGAGAGGTGCGACAGTCTTCTCTCATTGAAAACAGACCTGGACATGTTTCAGTCTCACCACACGTGATTACAAACGGAAAAAAATCTTATCTGTCTCACACTGTACATAGAAATATATATATATATATATATTTATATATATATATGTGTGTGTATATATATGTGTGTGTGTGTGTTTTTCTCTGCCTTTTAAAACAAATACAATACATTGGAATAAACTTTAGTTTCCACTGGATTAGAGTTATCTTAGACTCAGTGCACAAATGCCACATAAAGTTATCACAAAAATATCATGATAAACTGCAGTCCGTTTATTGTCTGTTAATCATTTTGATACAAAGTACAAATGCATGACTTCTTCAAAATACATTCTTTACAACAGCCTGTCTCCAGTTACGCCACACCATGTTATACGTATTTAGAGCCAATGGCTGAATATAATTTCCAACTTCTACCACTTGATGGGGCTCTATCCATGGGTATCTCCTGCTCCCATTAAACAAGACTGTCTCTAAATGTCACATAACAAAACATGAGACGCAAACTACATATTCTTACCATCAAGTTCAAGGCCTAAACTGAACTCAAATCAGACTCTCTGTTTTCTGTGTGTGTATCATTGTGTGTGTCTCTGTTGTGTGCAGGTGCTGCTGTCGATGAACAGCGGTGGAGGAGACATGTTCAGCTCCTTGTCTCCTGAAGAGCCGCTATGTAACGGTCGCTGGCACATCATCACAGGTGAAAACCATTCAATTTTATTCAATGTGTTTATGTATCGCCCTAAATCACAACAGCAGTCGCCTCGGAAGACTCCATTCCTCAACAACAGATCAGAAAATCAAACTATTCCAACACAGGAAATGCAATCTCAACAAATACATAGGAGCCATTGGTCCATAGGGAGCAGGATGACCACTGTCCAGAAGTGTCCAGGACAGTGATGTCTTTAGATCCTCCAGCATCGTCAAGGACCAGCTCAAAAACAAATGTTTCTCACTTTTTATGTGGAAAAAAGTCCTGTCCTGAAATACAATGTTTACTAGAGGATCCTCTGCTGCTGCACTTGTCATAAAGAAGATATAGAAATGAATCCACCACAGAGTTAGCGTTTAAACTGTTAGCGTATGGTAAGCACTGTTAGCAGGAGGGAGAGGGAAGGGAGGGAGGGAGGAGAGGGAGGAGAGGGAGGGAGGAGAGGGAGGAGAGGGAGGGTGTAAAAACAAAACAATTGTTCATAGTCTTACACTTCTTGTGCCTCAGACTCTGTGCATAAACCCTGGTTACAGATGCCTCCACACAATAATAACACTATCATGACCTATGTGATGTCACTCCTGTTGTTTCAGTGGTGAAGAAGAGCAACGTCCTGACCCTCCAGGTGGACGCCCTGTCCGAGCAGAGCGTCGGCCCCAAACACAGTTCCTCCTCTGGGGCCAAGGCGGCTGTGTACTTGGGGGGAGTCCCAGGTGAGACCCTCATTCTTTATTAGAAACACAAACTGGGCCTGAGTTTAGAAGAATGTCAGATATGATTAGGGTCAGGATGGATTTGTAGGGGACAGAAGTGTGGGAAGAAACAGAAATGAATCCCAACTCCCTCGAGTGGCTTTGACGTCCTTAGTCTGTGGATTGGACCAGCTCTGCCTCAACACTCGGCCTCTGACTCCCATTGTGACTGCTCCCATTATAAATCAACGGCGTTCTGAGAAATTCCCTCTAAAACACTGGGTAACAAAAAAATATTTTTTGAAAATAGTCCAGGGTTTTCCAGCTGAATTAGACTAATTTTGATGCTCTGAATCCGAAAATGACCTTGGTTTTGCTCAATCAGGTCAGGATTTTTTGCTACAGAAATATTTTTTTTAATCGATTTTGCGTAAAAAACAATTTCCTGCGGATCATCAGCTGAGAAACCCTTGACGTTTTTTTCTGTTTTCCTCAAGAAATAAACGTCAACGTATCCAAAGTCATTCAGTTTTTATTTACGCCATCAAATTTGATAAGCAGAATTCATAATAATGTAGACGTACGTAATCCGTAACACTATGGCTGTATCTCAAAAAGTTGACCTGATAGAGCAAAATGCATGTGATATTCAGACTCAGAACACCAAAATTAGTCTAAATCAGTTGAGAAACCCCTGACCATTTTTTGGCAGTCAACTTGTGAAATCTTTAGTTTTCTACCAGTTTTATGATAAGTAAGTAAACCCATGTATAGGGTTTTTTTTCCTTTTACACACTTTTAATGAGTGATAAAACTGGAGAATATAACTGCAATATAGCAAATAAGCTGTTTTGCTTTTTAGAATGATCAATTTTATGATTTCTTTTTGCTGCTAATGGACACCTGAATTTATCCTACGGGGATCAATAAAGTATCTTTCTATATATCTACTACAGCCTGTATAAATGCCATCTTGATTGTACCTTGTGACTCATTCCTTTGTCTCGCCTGTAGGTGGCGTGGCGGTTCCAAAGCTGCCTGAAAAGCTGCCTTCATTCCATGGCTGTGTCCGCGTGGCCTCGCTCAACCACCGGGCGGCGCTGTTGTCCAAACCCCTGTCTCTACACGGAGCAGTGGGTTCTCAGGGCTGCCCCCGCGTCTAACCCTCAGTCACATTCCAAAAAGTTCACGGTGGTGGGTGTCCAGATACTGCAGCCTATTTAAATACCATATATTTTAATATTTATTATATTTTTGCAAAAGAAGTGTATATTTTATATTTTTCCTGGCGTTTTGCATCAATACTAGTTGTTTTAATGAGCTTCAGGTGCGACGACAGCCATGCACTGGTGTAAGATAATCACGGCGGTTTTGAACACATGTGTACATTCTTGTAAATAAGGTTTTGGTGAAAGAAATGTTGATTTTGAGCAAATTGTTTAGTTCGAAATGTCATTGATTAAACTGTTTATGCAGCGTACATCAAAGCCTCTGTTGTCACGACAATATCACATTTAGACTGGACTTTAACCTCATGTGTGGCTTCGTTTTACAGCCTTTAAGATCATTTTTTATTGATAAAAACGTGTGATGAACTCGTGAGATGTGATTGAGAAGCGAAAAAGCAGTTAGTTTGATCTGATCCTCATGAGACGACAGCAGTGATGCATGTAAGAGCACAGGAGATGCCAAACTTGTATTAGAAATGTATGAATTTGGACAGATGTTGTTTAGCCCCAGCACACGGTTCCTTGCTGCTGTGTTTTGTTTTTGTTTTATTGAGTCACGCAAAGAACAAACTGAACCAAACAGAAATTTGGAAATTCAATGATTTCTGCTGCAGCGGCTGAACAGGTGTGAAAATCAAACACCCAAAGTAAAAGTAATGTTGTGTGACTACGTTTGCTTATAATGTTGGAGTAATGAGGGAAAGTTAGGGCCAAAACTAAAACTTTTTGTTCTTCTGTTATGCTTTGTAAATTCACTCACTTAATACAGACCTAGATATGTTTCTGGCTCCATCCACGCTAACACTGTCCCTTCTGTTCAATTGTTTTCACTTTCAACATATTAGTTTAATATACAGTTATGTGCCTGCAATGTCAGATTCTACCACCAGATGGGAGTGTTGTCCTCACTCTGAACATTTCTTTTTTCAATACATATTTATTCATATATATTTTCTGTAAAATCTTATCAAATCCACCATCCAACCTTTTTGTTTTTTCATTATTCCATTCTGTTTTAACAATGTCACAAAGATATCAATCGGATGAATTTATTGTATTGTATTTTTGTAGCAGTTGTCTTGGATGGCGTCACGGAATTGTGGATTTGCCTAGAGATTAGAAAATCAAAGTGAATATTCATTGGTGCACAGAGACACAGGCCAGCCAGTGTTCTGTCTCTTCGTCTGTAAGAAAAACTAAAAAACTAATGGGAGAAATGGAAAATGCCAAAGTGGGGGCAAGATACATTCCGACCAAAATATAAATACTGCTGTCAAACTATCATTACCTAAAATCACTTCATGTCAGTCCCAACATTGTTTTATGTTTTGTCCTCTTCCTGCTTCCTGTGTACATATGTTTTATACATTATGGGGCATTGACGAAACCCTAGTTACAAATATAGTTTTTGATGAATCTTGATTTGCGGATGTTTGAAATAACGTTTTTTTGTATTATGGAAACTTAAGTCGCAGCACTGTGAAGAAAGACTGAGCCTCACGACCAGATTCACTCACTCTGGGGTGAAAAGTGACCTGAAATGTTGCCTCTCCTTCAAAAATCCATCCTTTTTCTTCTGCTTTATCTGTTGCCGGGTCAAGGGGGCAGCTGTCTAAACAGAGATGCCCAAACCGAGCAATCTACATGGAATTTTTTACATCTATTTTGTCATGTCGTAGCGTTTTTCTGATTCAATTGGAGGCAGGGTTGTAGTGGGCAAAGTTAAAGCGTTTTTTGTAAACACTTCTATTGTGGTCTGAGCGGAGCCTGCATGGCCTTTAAGATGTTAAAGCTGAGGCTGTGTGTACTTTTAGTTATTTCAAAACATGCGCAAGATATAGCAACATTTATTCACAGAAAAAAAATATTAAAAAATACACAGAAAAATAGACCTAAATAATAAAAACCAAAAAATCCGTATATGGTTTGAGCATGGATTGGATTGGAGAATAATGTGGGGGCAGAGAGCAGAGCAATTCGGCAAGACTGAATGCAAAAAATACATGAACTTGATGGATTAATTTTTATTTGAATTTTAGCTCAAGATAAATATTTTCAAACAAACAAAATCTTCATATTTACTATATTTATACTGAACGTGTTGTATTGTAAACACAGAACCATTGTAAATAATGTCAATATCTGCTTTTGTTTCTACGTTTTTGAGGCTCAGTCGCATCTTGTCGTCTGCTGATTTCCGTGAATGTACTGTATTATGACTTCCTGTCCAAAAAAAAGGAAACTATTTAAAAACCAAAATGTATGTGATGTAAAGTTACCACTCACAGTTGAAATAAGCTGTCGTCCCTTCACGTCCCTTTCCCCCTCGTGTAATAAAAATGTTTTCATATAAAAGTCTGGCTCCAGGTTTTGTTTGTTCACATGAGGACTCGTCTTTAAAGTACGTACGCAGTACGTCATATGCATTCTCACTGGGCTAATGAAGGCATTTACAGACACTTGTGTTGCCAGAATCTTACCTTCCAGTTTGGTGAATTTTAGGTGGTTTTGGATCTTCAATTTGCATTAATAATAATAACGCAATGTTTTTGTATAGCACTTTTTTGGCTTCAGACACAGCTAAGCCACCAGAATGTGCCACTGTCCTCTGATCACCATCGACACAACACATCAGATTAATCTTGTGTGCTTCTCATTCCTAATGTATCCAATCTTAATTAAATGCAAAACTAAGTCATCCATTGCGGGATGATTGACTTAATATTACCGCCCCAACAGTCTTCCCTCCCTGTATCAACTATAAATATGAAACCATTTGAAAAACACCAAAAAACAATGTTTATTTTGAGGTTTTATTAAATGAAAACCCAAGAATAACCCTATCTCAAAGTGCTACAGCCAAACACAGGGGCCTCATTTATAACTGCATACAAACAAATCCGGTGGGCGGCAAAAGACAAAGTTGTAAAGGTTTTTAAATAAGCAGAAGATCCATATATTTACCAAAAACACAGCAATGAAGACCTTGCTTCTGGTCTGCATCAGCTCAGGGACTAATGACTGGAAAGGGTCGGTTTAACACATTTTTCTGTCCTCTCTCAACAAAAAATGTTTTGATTAGATCGTTTTTATTTCAGCTTTACAGCAGTGAAGCAGACACCTCCCACCACAAAGTTGGATAAGACTGGTTTATAACAGTTTCCTTGTTGTTGTCCATAAGTCTCATCCATAAAACACATCAAACCTCCTTGGAATCTAAATATGAGAACATGGTATGATCTAAAGTATGGATGAGTTATAAATGAGGCCCCAGAACGAGGAAAAACCGTCCAAAAGACTCACATCGGAACAAAGGCTAATGATAGAAACTAGTTTGTCCTGAGTTGGAAGAAGTTGCCGTAAAAGTTTTAAGGCAACGTCGTGGGAGCAGGTCTTTAGAGAGCCGTTTCATTTGTTATCACTACAGGATTAGACAATGTAATAGCCACACGAGTAGAGGAACTGTCGGTGTGTGTGTTTATGGGTGTGTGTGTTTATGGGTGTGTGTATACGTGTGTATATATATGTGTGTGTCTAGCTCTAGTCCAGGGCCATGTCTTCGTCGTCGTCCTTCTTGTCTTTGGCGTCTCCTTTGCTGTCCTGCATGGCTTTAGCAAACGCCTCCACATCTGAAAGAGACAGAAAATTAGTATTTCAAAACCTGTGTGGGTCATTAGGACAGAAATACCAAAATAATCGTAAATTGATATCTATATTGGTTTCTCATAGACGAGAACTAGTATATAAAAAGTCCAGAGCACAATAATTATTTATTTTTTAACTTTATTCTCTCTCTGAGCTAACAGTGGTTGTGTGTGTTTTGTTTTTACTGTATTTTAAAATTGAATGAGAAAATGGATTAACTTTTTGTGAATGGACGCTCGTTAAAATCCATCCATTTAGCTAACAATTAGAAACTAACTCCATTTATAATAAATAAATAAACTTTGTTATTGTGTGATTCTCGGAGTTCTGAGTGCTGCTGCTGCTCACCTCCTTTGTTGGCGGCGTCCACAGCGTCGGCAGGAAGTCCAAACTGGTTCATGAGAGGCCCCAGCTGCCCCGAGGCAAGCGCACTGGAGAACATGGTCATGGACTGGACAGAGACAGGACAGACACAGGTCAGAGACAGGTCAGAGACAGGTCAGAGACAGGTCAGAGACAGGACAGACACAGGTCAGAGACAGGTCAGAGACAGGTCAGAGACAGGACAGACACAGGTCAGAGACAGGTCAGAGACAGGTCAGAGACAGGACAGACACAGGTCAGAGACAGGTCAGACAGACTAAAGTGTTTGTTACTGAGACAATAGAGCTCCCTCTCTCCTCTAAGTAAGTAAGTAAGTAATCTTTATTTATATACCGCCTTTCACAGACCAGAGTCACAAAGCGGTTTACAATTGGGTTTTTTGGGCATTTGTCTCTCACTCCACACAGAGATGGGAGCGGGGTCGCCGAACAGGAGGCCCATGCCAGAACTATTGAACATATTTTTAGTGGTAGGGGAAATCGGAGTACCCGGAGGAAACCTACGCAGACACTGGGAGAACATGCAAACTCCACCTCAGAAAGGCCCTGGCCCGACCGGGATATATTCTCTCTCTCCCTCTCTCTGGTCTCCCCCTCTCTCTCGCTGGTCTCCCTCTCTCTGGTCTCTTACCTGCTGGAACTGTGGTGAGCTGAGCGTGTTGTGGATCTGTTCAGCGCTCTGAGGAAGACTCTCGCCGCTCGGGAGGAAGGGCGTCAGTCTCTGCTGCACCTCGGGGTTTGATAGGATCGGAGCCATCATCTCCGGGGTGCACACACTCGCCAGGTCCACTAGGGGGCAACAGAACTTCAGCAATCTGTATATTTTAGGGGCATTTACAGTGTCACAGTGAAGCCAAAGTTAAAGGTACACTGTAGTTTTTACTAGTGTTGAGATCATATACTGCAGTCCTTTGGTTCTTATGGAGCTTAAAGGAGAATATGTCGTCTTTGACAGTGGTCCTCAACTCTATAGTAGATGGACGCGCTCAGAGCGGGTCAGAACATCATGAGACCCGTATTGCACTTTCTGCATCGTTCTCATTATTCTCATCGAAATGTGCCTCCTGTTTTAACTCTGCTTTCGGTGTGTGTGGTTGAGATGTCTCATAAAAGAGAAGCGGTGACAGTATTCCAAAACATATACATAAAGTTGGCCAGTAAACAGGGCTTTCAGACATAAGAATATGTCAGGCAGGTTTTTGAGTCTAATCATTGACAAAAAATAAGTTCATTCCAAAATAGCTTCTTTCCCATCAAGTTTTAATAGCACCCAAAATACTGAAATAAAACTCTGGAACATGAACGCGACCCATCGACCACCTAATCTCACCTGCAGATCCCTGGGAGCCCGCGGGGACGTTCATTGTGGCCAAGATGTTCTGCAGGTCACTGAGCTGGATGGGCTGGTGTGGGGGGCTGCCGGCGGCAGCGGGAATCACAGGGGGCGCCACTGAGACAAATAAACAGCAGGAGTGAGAGAGATTACGACTGGGACTAGTTCAACAGCAGGTGTTCGGTTGTGCTTGAAAGTTTTCACACCCTGGACTGAAGATTGTCTCATGGCCATATTTACTCAATGTTACTGATTGTTGTGAACAAAATCAACCACAACATGCAATCTTGTTTATTTATTTTGCTTACTTGACTCATTATTTGACTTTTTAGGCATTGGGCAATATAAATGCTACTAAAATATATAACACCGTTTTTAAACTTATATTTGTACAATTGTCTTTTACAGTTTGTATCATTGTGAAATAAACAGTAACTTAACATTTTAAAATCATTCATTTAAACTCAAGATTTTTTTTAACACAAAAGCATGTTTTTTTTTACCCAAAAACTATTTAATATTTTTAAATTTAACTTAAACACTTTAGCATTTGAACTGTTTTGGCTCTCAACAAACTCATGTGAACCATTGGTCCATGGGGAGATAACAAATAAATGTTCTTAACCCTTGATCTTTCACCACCTTGAAAGATCAAGGCTATGCTCACACTCAGAGAGCAGCCGTCCTCCTGTGGACTCACCACCTGCAGAGGGTCAGTGAGGGGCTGGTGCTATGAGACTTGGGTGGCATCTCTGATTGCCACCCCCCTGACCCAGAAATGGATTAAAGGGTAGAAAATGGATGGAAAATGGATGGATGTTCTTAACCCTTGTGCTAACCTACACTCAAAATGACCCGCCACTGACTTTTCCTAGTTTTACCAGCACTGGGGCATTTAGACCCTTTTAGACCCTAATTTAGAGTATTTTTCTTGTACGTTTATTCTTCCCTTAGACCATCCTGCATCAGCAAGGAATGACTCAAAAAAAGGAGGCGGCCCACATTGAGAGTGACCCGCCCCCCGGATGGACAGGCTGTAGATCCATCAATTGTAGTAGTTTGGCCGAAACGATGACATCACTGGTATAGTGTGAAACTTTACCAAAGCTGTAAGGTACCTGGTGTGGAGGGAGTAGTGCCCCCGGTGGTGGTGGCCGGTGGTGCAGCAGCAGCAGCAGCAGCAGGAGCAGGAGTTACTGTGGGGGTGGCCTGAGAGGAGCTGACTCGAGGCGTAGCTGTGGACGAGGGAGTAGCAGCTGCCGACTGACTGCGAGAGCTGAGACAGAGATACCAGCGTTTAGAAGAGACCAGAGTCTGCAAACTCTAAACCCTCTCACCTGGAGGAGGAGCTGCTGGTCGCTGGTCCTCCGCTGCCCAGGAGGTTAGCGAGTCCTGGTCCGGCTAAAGCCCCCAGACCTGCAGACGACAGTATCAACCAACTCTGTATTAATGGCTACATATGACAATCTTGGAGACCTGTGATAAACGTCCTACTTTATTCAGATAGGGCACAAAGTATGCCCTATCTATCTGCCCTGTAGGAGAAAGTCAGAATATCTGTTTACAGCATATTGTATTGGATTAATGTTTTAAATTGTTCACACTAGAAGATAAAAATAAAGATAAAATATGTTTTCAAATAGTCAATGTCGTCGGCCCTCATGCTTCAGTGCAAGTCCAGTGGTCCTCACCCAGTCCCCCGAGCCCAGTGGGGCCGATGAGCTGCATGAGTTGGTTGTGGCTCATGTTCCCCAGCAGGTTCTGCAGACCGCCTTCTCCTCCCAGAGCCGAGAGCTCGTGGCCGCTGCCTGCTCCGCTGCCGGGGGCCCCAGGGATCGGAGGGTTGTTCAGGAACTCATTCACTTTGCGGCAGAACTCCTCGTCTTTGTCGGTCTTTGGCTCCTGCGCAGAAGGAGGAGGAGTTTAATATTCGGGAATATGTCAGACGTAGATTCAGACTATTTCATTTATCCGACCACAAGGAATCATTTGAGCCGCAGAGGACATCGAATCAAAAGTGGCCTGTATCTCTGTAGGTAGCTATGAATCGAATTGTATCTCATCTGCAAACTCCGCTGCCTTCACATTGAAGGCACAGAATTCAAAAGGTTTTATGCTACACAAAGAAAGGGTTAGGGTAAGATAACCGTTAAATAAAACAGTCAAATGTTCTATAGAGGCTGTTTATCGGTGTCACAGACGAGATCCTTTGATGGAATGAGCAGCAGAGGTTTGTTTCATATTTTCAGATGTCCACATTAGATATTCTTTTTTTAGTAGAAACAAAATGATTACATTTAGTGATTTACTTGTCCGTTAGCCATGTTAATCAGTGGGATTTAATCTGCTGCTTTGTCACTGATGATCTTTTATTTTCTATGTAACTGGCATCAAAGTTGACATATAAAATCAGAGGCCGATCTTTTTTTTTACATTTCGCCAAAAATGTATTACTCAATCTTTTCTTTTGATTTCATCCACAAATACTCCCCCTGTCTGGGTCTTCTACTTTACTTTGTGTTAGCGAGGCAGAGGGCCACATAAAATGACAAAGAGGGCCACAATCGGGACACCGGCCTTTGTTTGGAGAAGCCTGGTTTAGGGGAACACGAAAGCCTCTGTTTTCTGACCTGCATCCAGAAGAAGAGCCTCTTGGACCCGGCCTTAAACTTCAGCACATAGACTCGGCCGGTGGTGCACTGGGAGACTCTCTTAAACTCACAGTCGTCTGGGAAGATGATCAGATCCTGAAACACAAGAGACAAAGAGACAATTCAACAAGAGGGGGTCACAAACATTTCTGTAGATATTATGAAGAAGACCAGTGGGAAACTATAACAGTCAATACAGGATTTACAATTATCTATTTATCTGTAGCTTCAAATCTAAGATCACAAATGCAACAGAGACACAGACGTAGATTAGGTTTGGTCATGCTAATGATGTCTTTTAAATACTACAATTGTTTCTGTTTTAGTTCACATTGAAGTCTATGTGAAAATCTCCCTTACAGCCAGTGTGAAGAGAAAGTTTTAAGCAGCAATACCCTCTCCAGATAATATCATGCATCCATAGAGATGGGAATTGGCAAAAATTTGATGATTCATTAGTTTTGCGGTTTTTGGACCACGATTAAATATTATTGCAATTCTAATAATATTGCAATTTTATTCTGTAATTTATTGTGATTCATGTCCCTCATAATAGTCAAAGACATTACACAAAATTGAGGAAAAAAAGACCCATCTCAGATGTCACATTTATTAGGGTTTTACATTAACTGAAGAGCAAACACTTAGGAGGGAAGTGCAAAAATGTTATCCATGAACATATACAACACCACTAAAAGCGCCCCTTTTATTTAATACACAATTGAAACATATCAGCGGAAGCTCAGGGGAAAACATGAAAGTGGAACAGACAATTATTTAATTGCTCTACTGCATCAATTTAATCGTGTGCGAATTTCCCCCCACCACTAAACATCCAGGGAACTTGAGCACGAGTATATTTTGCTCTTGCTTGGTTGGACTGAAAAACTGCATCTACTTTGCTCTTCGGGGACCAAGTAGAATACCCCTGTAATAGATGATATAACACTCACATCGTCCACGTTGCCAGTGGTTCTGTCCTTCCAGCAGAAGTGGATGAGCGAATCGTCGGACTGTTGCACGTAGACACTTCCTTTGCGTTTGTCTGGCGTCACCACATTTCCCTTCATCGTCATCTTTCCAGCGCGAAACTCCACCAGGTATTTACTGGAGCTGCCTCTGGAGCCACTGGTCAGACTGGGGAACAGAGCACCGGACGACATCTCGGATCGAAGAGAGCTGAAAAATAACAGTGAGAGACTTCAACTAGAAGTCCAGAGAAGAGGGAATACATATTTTTCTAATTTATTAAAAAGATTTCCATTTTCTCACACAACCTTACCTATCAAACCACCAAAAGAACTTACGACGGCATGCATTCCCCTCCCAGATCTACAACCTCAATTCTGAATCTACCGCATGTCCATCCGTGGGAGCGGATGCCTCTATTTCTATTTCTACATTGGTCACCCCAATCCTTATGGACTAATGACTCCTATAATTTTGTTATTATTGTATTTTATGTGTTTGAACAGTCTGATTTTCTGATCTGATGTTGGCAAATCAGCAACTTTGTACAGTCTTCTGAGAATACTGTTGTTATGATTTAGGGCAATACAAATATTCATTGAATTGAATAGTATTCTAATTAACCGAATTCACTATCTGGTGATGAAAGACATGCCCAGTATATCGTGTGGATGACTAATAAAGATGTGACAAAAGCTCTGTAAATTAGAAAATGTATGTAATAAAATCCCACAAAAAAGGCTATTACTAATGAACAGTAAACATTGGGAGCTTGTTCCCAGAGAAATTCTTGTAATTTACAGGAAAAAAATGACTAATATAATTTCACAATTTGCTCTTCCAGCACTGGGCAAAGATGTATCCAGACATTTGTATATACACTCCATATACATACACATTCATATATAACCCTAAAGCTGCCTTTGCCAGTATGTAGTTAAGCTTTGTGTTTGTGTTTATTGTGTTAGCTAGCATGACATGACTGATTGAGGCAAATGTAAAGTAACACTATGGTGGTTTACAGAAAGACAACATTTACAAACATAACCTTTCCCTAAGTACTTAGAGTTACCACTTTGCCCGGGGGGTATAGGACATGTTTAAGCAGTGGTAAGTCTTAAAAACATAGCTTTAGCCCTGATGCTAACGTTAGCTCATGACTTGGCTAAAACCGCAGCACAACTAAAGACGCTGCTAGTTTTGTTTTTTGGGCAAAATCTACAACAAATCGCATGTTTTGAGCGCATAGACCTGTGATGGATATAATTGTTATGGCGAATTAAAGTCATTTGTTTGGTTGTTTACCTCAAAGTAGCTGTGGAATAACTTTTCAGAAGACTCAAGTAGCGGACGTTACGTTCTGGGTTTCACACGTGCAACAGCGCCCTCTGCAGGACGGAGCAGGCTGCATCCAAATCTGAAATCCGGAGGACTCTGTAAAAACCATTGATCTATCATAAAGTAAAAACAAATGTATAGAGGGATCCTACGGTCACGTGACTAGCAGCCACGGCAGAGTGCGGTAAAGTTAGTTTTATAATGGATATTCGACACATTCAACACATTCATAAAATCTATTTAGCCCTTTGCCCTTTAGGCCCTTTGATTTCAAAACACGTTGGGTTTATGTATTCTGGTCCCCCACACATGAAACAAAGCTTCTTTTTTCAATATTCCCTTTGGTTGATTTTTTATGATTTTTTTGCTATTAAAAAGTCCCTTTAATCTATTTAGCCCTTTGCCCTTTAGGCCCTTTGATTTCAAAACACGTTGGGTTTATGTATTCTGGTCCCCCACACATGAAACACATCTTATTTTTTCAATATTCCCTTTGGTTGATTTTTTATTATTTTTTTGCTATAAAATATTCCCTTTAATCTATTTAGCCCTTTGCCCTTTTGGCCCTTTGATTTCAAAACATGTTGGGTTTATGTAATCTGGTCCCCCACACATGAAACAAAGCTTCTTTTTTCAATATTCCCTTTGGTTGATTTTTTATTATTTTTTTGCTATTAAAAAGTCCCTTTAATCTATTTAGCCCTTTGCCCTTTAGGCCCTTTGATTTCAAAACACGTTGGGTTTATGCCTGATGGTCCCCCACACATGAAACAAAGCCTCTTTTTTCAATATTCCCTTTGGTTGATTTTTTTAGATATACCAAATTTTTCAATATTTGGTTGATAAAAAAAAAAAAGATTTTTACATTAATACATATACACAAACATTGAACGTTTAGCTACCACTAGCCACTAATCCCTTCATTGTCTTTATCCCCTTGTCCTCCACTAACTGCCCACCTCAACCCCACTTCGTTACATCCCCCCTCTCCTTTTTTGGTCTCTTCCTAGCAACACAGTTGACAAGTCCACTTATTTCCGTATTTGCGCTGATTGTCTGCAGCGATGCAAACATCATGGGACCACCTCCCACAGCAATCACATTGGGTCTGTAAAAAAAGTTCAAAGTCAACATTCAAAGTTTGATCACTTTTCAATACTGGAGAAGCTCTTGCATTGTGCTGAGCATAGGATAATGCATTATACTACTAAAGTGTAAAACAGCTTTAAGTTTGCAATATTTACTGTATCATATTGTTAAGTCAGTAATTTATAAAATGTCAGTTTTTAACACTCACCCAGTCAATCACTGCTGCTTCCATGTCTGTTCCGCTTGGAACATCAAAGAGACCACAGATGGTGCAATAGTCTTTAACTGTAAAAAATGACAGTATGACCCGTGGGATGCAGCCTTGCCACAGAGCTTATCTTATACTAATGCTTACTTAACTAATCACTGCAGCCTGGGACTGCCTACATTACACCAATTGAAATTGTGATTGTGAGAAAATAAAAAAATACCTGATGCAAGCAAGATATCATTTGCCATCTCACACCGGAGATTGGCCACAACTCTTGCTGAGCCACTCGTGTCAAGCAACGGGAGTGCTGGGAAAGCCTGTACTGCTTTTTTTGCCATCTTAAACAAAAATGAAATAAAAAAACAATGGATAATTTTGTAACTGTTGTTCAGACAAATGCAGGTTCAGTGTTCTCTACAAAAAGTTCATGACAACTAATGTGATGTGGAACATGGCTTCAGATAGTACCAACTTCTGTGTAATACCTGCATAACAAAGACTCCACAACTTGATCCATCTTTTTGTGTAGTGTGTGGTATTGTTGCTGGCTTCCAGTGCAGGCCAGTCCACGCCTGTCTTCCGACAATATTTTGTCGCATTTGAAAGAAGCGTCTGACAAAATAAATGACAGAGCAGTAAGAAGTAGCCTTCTGTAACAATGTATCTAATTAGCAAAAAAAAATACTGTACTGTGATGCAATGGATTTAATTGGTCATAGACTGTACGAAGCATTTCAGGGTTATATGGTTGTAGTGAAGTATCACTCTGGGTTAAAATGGTCGTGTATGTAGTGAGATAGGGATACACCTATGGAGTCTATATTCAAATATTTTACGTATTGTTTTGCATGGATTTCAAGTTTTGTATAGAGTTTTGAAGAGAGAGCAAATTGTGTGTGTGAGAGAGAGAGACCATGTATGTATGGAAAACAGCAAAAATAACAAGTAAGATAGACATGAATGAGAGAATAATTGTAGTAAGAATGAATTGAATGGTCTACGGTAGTCTGTGACAGTGAGTGACTCGGAGGGACTGTCAATCTGGGTGGGAGAATGTATATAATTTATGAGTATTTGTGAAAGAATGTGACAATGTGTGTCTTATTTTCTCACTTGAAACTCTTTACAGCAGTTGCAGAGAGACTGTGGTCATTGGTGGTAGTTGCAGGGTCGATGATGAAGATGCTCCGAGAGGGTGCATGGAGATACTGGATAAAACACAACAATGCAATGTCAAATCACATAAAGTTGTCCGTCTTGTTCTGCTTTGTATTGATATTGTTGTCATTATGACCAATTTTAGTTGTACTCACCACAAACCTCCAGTGGTTGCCATGCACGTTAACAAATGATACGGCTGCACCAAAGTCATCCATGTTGACCTGCGGTCATTTTGATATTTATAATAGATGTAATAATAATGTACTCATGAATTTATTAGGAAAATAACTCCCAAAATGTCTTTTCCTTACATTTCGCATTAGATGCCGACTGATCCTTTCCCACGAGCCCTGTAGAATGAGTCCTGTGGTGTAGTGGTCTATTTGTAGAACTTTTTGAGCAGTGTCATATTTATTCAGCGTGTCCGAAATGTATGCTTCGATGACCTAGGAGATACAAATATTAGATATATTGTTACCAGTCAATAGGAAACAATTTTTCCACAATATATGAATGCCGTCATAGGCAGGTAGCAAATGTGATAATGATGACTAGAACTTCAGAGGATAAAGTTAGCAGTCATATATTCATAACAAAACACTCACCTCTCCAGAAATCCATTCATTAGGGCGTAATGTCCGAAAGTCTGCATGCCTAATAGAAAATCAGAGTTGTCTGCATTTGATTACTGATATGACCAGCTCTGTGTCACTCCTCACCCACAGTGTCTCGACCTACAATAAAACTTAGGTTAAATGAAATTCCTTTAATATAAATGTATAAACAGTATATGTACATCCATTAACACTTACCTGTGACATGTTTTCTCCTCCTGTGTGTGTGTCTTTTTTCCCCTTATGTGTCGCTCCCTTTTGTCTCTGTGTTTTTTTCCTTTTGTTTTTTGTGTGTGACTCTGATTCCCACGAGTGCATGTCTTCTTTCTTCTTTTGTGTGTCTTTTTCAAAAGGGAGTGTGTCGGCTACAGAACCCATCTTTTTCCGTGGCTGTGGGACTTCTGGAGGGGCGGAGTAATACCGCGACTTTTTTTTAGGCTGATTCGGTTCCCCACGCTTCGCCCAGGTTTCTTCTGACAGGGACAGATCAGCCTCTCTGCGTGGTCTCAGACCTACATTACCCACAAGACCGTGCCTGAGGTTATGCTCAATGTACCTTCCCTTCAAGGTGCAATACATGGACCTTATGAAGACAGCAGGCCTGAGACGCAACTTTTTCTTTAAAACAGAGTTCTTCACAATGCTGAACCATCCCTCTACGTGACAGTTGGTATCTCGGCTCTGCTCTGCCTCTTCTTGATGGGTCACATCTTGGACATAGCCCCTCAAATCAACGAGCATAATGCCACTCCAAAGTGGGTAGATTCCCATGTAAGTGTTCATCAGCACTGCCACGATGTCAGGACAGAAGTACTCATTTATATCGTCTTCCCTGTCCTCCACCTCAACGTCCAATCTTGCCCTTTGGCAAGTGTCTTGAAAAAATCTACCATATGGGGATCTGCCCATAATGGTCCTTGCTCGAATGTCGTCCTCTGACATTTTGTAATCAGACAAATCCATCTCCATGGCATCAATGTCAGGGTTGTTCCCCCTAGATATCAGGCCCTGGAGATATGCAACACTTGTTTTGACCGTTGCATTTGCATGCTTCCCCAACAAGACTCTACACAGATGGCCAAAAATGTCTTTTGCCGATTGGAGGGAGGTGGTATTTTGCAGCCGTGCAAAAACAAAGGTGGCAAATTGTCTAAGGCCATTGTCGGGGGTTTTTCTTGAGATGCTTGTGTGTACAGCCTTGATGATGTGCGCAGCGCATAGATGGAGAACTGTAGTGGCTTTGATATCATCCCAGCACAGTTTTCTTGAGATGATAGAAAAGGTAGTGGTCAGATAACCATCCACACTCTCCTTGTTGAAGGCTAACAATGTGGCCTGAATAAGTGCCCAGCTGTAGTCTGTCTCAATTTTGGCTGGATGAAGTTTGGTGAACTTTGCCACGGTATGACAAAATTTCATCAGCCAAAATGCGATGTGTGGCAGTGAATGCTCACTGGAGAGGAGCTCGCAGACAGGAAGAGGGGGGGCATCTCGACCAGCTCCAGGTAGCGTCAAAGCGTAATAAAAAACTTGCTTTTTGGTCCCTGGAATCTTGCTCACAACACTTCCAGTTGCATCTAGATACAAAGACACCCTCTCCCTTGACCGGAGATGGTTGACCAAAATGGCCACACTATCCTCGGTAAAAAGGTGCGCTGCAAACGGGTCTGTCTGTAGTACCTGTACATACCCTGGAAGGTGGCGGTGGTTTGTGTCACACTCCCGTATTATTGTTTGAGTCATCTGTAACTCCAACAGCACATTGTCGTGTAATCGCTGATGTTTCTTGTATTCACAGGCAATCACTTTTAAAATGTTTTTGCTCAGGCTTTTTGACAGGTTGCCAGCAGCTAACTCAGATATAGGAGTGGAGCGCAAGCTTTTATAATATAAATTACTGACCCCTTTACAAGCAGCCTTTGCTATTTTTCCACGTTTTATGTTGCTGGCTGGTCTGCTCCTAGTTTCATGTTTGAGGTGTCGAACCTGTCCTGTACGACTGACAATCATATCAAGCTGTTTTTTGTGAGATGGACTGTCAGTCATTGTGATGGTGAACTTTGTGGTGCAGGTCGAAAACTTGCAGCAGGCCTTTATCCTCAAGTATGGAAATTTGGATTTCCTACTACCAAGGCACCGTACATGGCAATATGTAAATATTGGCACACAACTGGGATGGTGTTCCCTTATTTTCTCGTAGAGAACATGGGTCCACCCCACTCCGAGTTGTACATCACCCATCTGTGGTGCTATTGTCTTCCATTCTTTGTTGGTCAAGCCAATAGAGAAAGTGCGAGGTGTACGGGAAATGTTTCTATATTTGTTCACATCCCTCAGTGTTTTCATGTCTCGCGTCATTTCTGTTGAATCAACATCACTATCTTCATCCTCTGAGACAATTGCAGACTTTGTTCTCCTCTTCTGTTTTGGTTGTCCAACGTCAAAACTATCGTCACTCTTGCTGTCTGTTTTGTATTGGCCATTGTCATCCGAATCCTTGTCTTCTCCCTCAATTTCATCCACTGTCATTTCTAAGGCCCCGACTCCACCGGGCGCGTAAAACGGACGACGGATCCGTCCAAACATGTCCGTTTCATCTCCGTCTCCGTTATCTCCATGAGAGTGAATGGAAGTGGCTCCACTGCCTCCGCATGCGTCCGTCCAACGCACGTCGGACCTATTCCGTCAACGGAGGGTGCAAAAGACGTGGACGGACGAAATAGAAACAATCCTATTTGTTCCGTCCGTCGACGCGTGTCGGGTCCGTTTTCCATTGAAAATGCAATGGAATAATATATTTACAACATTGTTAAACATGTATTGATATGCTGTAGTCCTTGGTTATAAGTATTTGTTAATGACAATGATTATTAACAAACGTGTGTAATGTTTTTCATGTGTTAATTTAAATAATTTTTTCCTGATCGTAAATCTACCATTTATTTTTCGCGTAATGTTAATACGCTAATCTTTATATACACCTCGCTCTTTTTTCTCTCGCTCTGTCCCGTCTACCTCCGAGGCGCTCTCTCCTCACCGCCGCGCGCTCCCACACACACACACACGCACGCACACATACACGTTTTTGTTACCTGGTGGGTCCCTTTGACAGGGCCGTTCAGAATGGGACCCATAGACATAATCTTTTTTTACTGGGACTACTTTAAGTAATACAAAACAGTCAATAGAAACCAAACAACTATTTTAAAGGAATTTTATTTTAGATTTTGTTTTCGAATTGCAGTGATTCTATTTTTGACATAGAATTTAATGCCACTCCATGTCCGATGTCTAAGGTCATCTGGTGAGGCATTAATGCAGGCCAGGCAGTGAGACTTCCCAGGGACCTTTCCAGTCTGTATGAAAGGTGTCATGGTCTTCTCCACAGCCTTCACCTCAGATGCAGACCATGGCTTTCTTACACGTTCTAGGGAGAGAAATAAAAATATATTAGCAATATACACTCCCAGGGTTAGGACCAAGCAGCCTGGCTGTAATCCCCCACCTGGTACACTTACCAGAAGGGGCACTGCCACTACCATGGGGTGCATCTGGATGAATGGTTGAAGGTTCTCCGCTTGAAGTTTCTTTTAGCCCGTCCGTTTGTGAGAGGATCTCTACTGCTCTCCCTGTCGCACAGAAAATAAAAATACAAGTGGCCTTTAGGGGAAAAAAATCATACATATTTTAATAATATCAAGAATTACCTTCAGGCTCAATTTGTATCTGGTCGAGGCTCTTTCCTTCGAATTCCGTCACTCTTCCCTGCTCCATGGCCATCAACACTTTGCTGATTTTGGCCAGCTCCAGTGTCCCCTCTGGTAGTCTGTAATATTGCCTGTGGATGCGAATGTCATGGCCGAGGAAGTTGGCAAGTATGTCCATCTCATTCTCTTTCATATTGAGAACTGTAGACATAGTAGCTATGTGCTTTCTAAGTTTGGTTGAGGATAGCATCTCTGGATGCACCGCACCACATTCTTTGGCTACCTGGCGTAGGGAGTCTGATCCCCTGATGTGGGTGTCTGCGCCCGGGCGGGAAAAGAAGTATGGGTTATGGTCAGAGATGGAACAGGCCCTTCTGTTCTCCACCAGCACCTCCATCGAAGCAATCATTTCAGGAGTCAAAAGAACCGGCACTTTCCGACTTCTTTTCCCTTTAATTTCAATGCGTTGAAAATGCTGACACAGCTTTTTCTCAAGTTGGGACAGTCCCAGAGCAATGTCAGAATGGATCCCAGTCTTACTTCTTAAGGTAAAGGCTGTCAGTGGCATCTTTGAAACCTCACCTTCCCTTCTTCGATTGAAAATGATGACCTCACAAAGAGTCAAAACTGCCAGTTTAGACCAATGCTTAGACGTTGGCTCACTTATTAGGGTTTGCACATATTCAGGTCGACATACCTCAATATGTGCATGCATGGCTCTAACGTCCTCAGTCAGAGGGAGCAGGTCCGGAGTGTTCCACTTGGCTTGCCGGAGGGTCTGTAGGGCAGCAGAAGAAACACAGACGTCCCACCTCTTCTCAAAAAGCAGCCGGCTTCGTTGGAGGTTTTTAATAAATAGTTCATCAACACAATGCTCCATTTTTGAGTCACATT